AGCCAGAAGTTTTCCAAGTGCTGCGAAAAATTCTCTTCTCCTCTCTTCTTGGATGGGAAGGGATTATGGGGTTATTCTACTAACGACTACTTGGACAGACGGACAAAAACACTTGAAAGTGGTATCAGTGCACAATAGGGCCCTACACCTGGGCTAATTTGGCTTAGATTAAAGGTTCCCTGTACAATCCTCGTCTATTAATACTTATTATACAATCTATCAATTATTGTAAAAAGATCTGTAATCTTTTCAATCAAGTTTCTAGTACAATATGGAGTGTCCAGAACGAATTGTGAACCCATGGGAAAACCAGCAATTTGTCTTTTTCAAATAAAAGCAGTTACATCTCCACATTTGATCCCATTGTTTCACTTACTCATCATGTTATCATAAGTTTTTTTTTATAATTGATGTACCCTGCAAGCAAGGGCAATCCTAGAGGAGAGAGAGAGAGAGAGGGAGAGAGGGTTTAACTTCCACTCTACACAAACTAGGTCATTTACGGACTATCATATGGTTCAATTTTATTTCAATAATTTTTTAGCAGTGGGAGGAAACCCACAAGGTTGGACAGGCGACCCTACTCCTTGTTATGTGCAAGCGGGGAATCGAATCCACGCCACTTGACTAAATGACAGGTATTAAGCTCCTGGAGATGAACATCAACATTTCCTACCATCATAGTTACATATGTACTGATAGAACGATATAATGGAGAGAGAGAAATGGGGTTTAACGTCCACTCGACACAAACTAGGTCATTTCAGGACTAAAGTATGGTTTAATTTTATTTCAATAATTCGCTTGCTCGTAGGGGTCTTTAGCTGTGGGAGGAAACCGGAGGACCCGGAGAAAACCCACAAGGTTGGACAGACGACCCTACTTCTTGCCACGTACAACCGGGGATTCGAAACCTTGCCAGTTGACTCAATGACAGGCCTTATGATACAGCGCGCACGTGCTAACCATTCGGCCATCCAACCCCCCACTATATAATGGAGATTCATTACACTTTTTAGAATAAAATAATATTACAAAATAAAGATATAATTCAGAAAAAAACTGATGGTAACATATTTTTGTTCAGATCATAATAAATATTTTAACATTGATATTTCTATAACCTTCTTTTGTTATTTTGAATATTTAAAAAGAAAAATACAATTTTATCGGAGAAAAAAAAATAAAAAAAAAATACTAAAGTAAAAATACAAAATCTGATTCTTAAAATGAAATCTCTGCATGGAAAAAAAAGAAGATAAGATTTAAAAAAAACAAAAACAACCCAACCTTCTACGAGCATATTTTTTTTTACAGGCATAAAATGTACGATTTTTTTCTCCACCACAAAGCTGCAGAATATTGATATATTTCTTAAAACTCAAACAACTAGTGAATAAAACAAGACAAAAATACGAAGCAAAAAACATAAAAATTGAAAAAGATTCTATATGCTGTTGCAATTGCCAGGGGCTTCATTTTCTACCAAACATGAACAAAATTCTCTTGTCATTCATTAAACAATATATCTAAATAATCGTTTTCTCAAGATTTTTTTTTTCATTCTTCATGCTGAATAACCATATGCTACATTCTCTTTTATCCTGAACCTTTTACTTTTTAAATCATAAAAAAAAAAAAAATCTTAATAAACCTTACTTATCCTCAACTCTCACGTTCCAAAAATTCAAGGTTTGCATAATATTTTATAATTAATGGGATTCTTTTCATGAAAGACTCAAGGTATTTTTTCCCCTCGTCTATTTTCTGCATTTGAAATTTTTTTTTCTATAAATATATTTCTCGTAGATCACAATACTCGGCACACAGAAGAGCAAGATTGACACAAACACAAAGAAGACTCTCTAGTGTTAAAGATGATATTTAAGTAAGCGGACAATAGTTACTGGGATGGGTAGAAACGGCCTAGCGTACGGGCGATGTCAACACCTCTATTTTCTTCATGTTGATATAACAAACATGGTACTCTGTATAGGAATGAGTGTATATATAATAAAAAGAATATGGCCCCCTAATAAACACTGAAGAGCTACATGTATGCCCTGAGGTGCTAAAATACCCTACAAGCCCTGTGTTTACATATGTCACATGCATACAGATTTACCATCATATTATCATGTAGAAGTTTTTATATCCATTAGTAACGTTAAAGTGGCTATAAACAGAAAGTTATACAACACCGACAGAAATACACCATACAGTGTGCTATGTAGGAAACTTTGCCTGCACAGCAACAGCCTTATCTATCAAGGGTTCTTTTACGTGAACGCCAATGTGAACACAAGACCTTGGTTTTGCATCCCATCTGAACGACTATGCGTTGTCCCTACATTATGCACCACTGACAAGAGGGAACAACGCCGATAAATCCAGATGAACTTAACACAGAACCTCCCGCTTAGCAAGCCACTATGGCTCCTCTGACAGAAAAGAAATGAATTTTGAAGCTATGACCATTTGAAGTTCACATTACCTTCAGTAGTGTTTTTAAATATAATTGTACCGTGGGTTTAAACAGACATTTCTACAACACTGACAGTAATCAAATGACGTTTGAAGCTATGGCCATTTGAAGTTTCTAATGATTTCACACTATCATCTTTACGTGTCAGTAGTGTTTTTGAATATATTTGATATGTTTCCCAAAGCACTGACATCAAGAGATTATGTTATCTATATTGCTGTTATGGTGCCTCTTTAACTCACGTACCCGTAATGAAAGCTAAATTTAATAAAATTATGTATGTATCTATATTTTGTAAAGACAATTTTAATGTCTTGGTAAACATTTGAAGTTCAATTTATGAATAATAAAATTTTAAAATCAATCCTAATCTACATCTCATCCTAGTTTTTGAGAGACTTTCTTCCTAATAACTAATATAGCTTCCAATTCTTAAACGCACAACAAGCCAGATTGTTCCCATATATTTCCAAATAAAAATGTATTTTCTATATTAAAAGTAAAGACTCATGTTATTATGTATATAAGCCATGTTGGAGTATGAAGAAAGGAATGGCTTGTGTGGAAAGAGAGTAAAATTGTTAATGCTGCATTTGTCAAGTAAACTTTAATTTGGCATTGTAACTTAAAGAGCTGGGGCTTGTTTCACGAAATTTTAAGTAAGATAAAAATCCAAATTTTAGTAATTTGATTGGATAATATTAAATTGATTTTAGTGCTTAGCCAATCAAAATTGAAGTATCTACTAAAATTTGGATTTTATCTTTCGTTAAGATTTTGAGTAACAGGGCCCTGGTCGTTCTTGCTATAATAGTTCAAAAATAGATAATTCAAAATGAATATATTGAAAATTTCAATGAAAATTTTATCCTTTGAAGGTTTGACAAGATTTGTGCACTGATTTTAAACACTGTACTGGTTGTTCGAGACTTAGCTTCACTTCTTCATTTTTAAATAAAGTCATTAAATGGCCAAATCATTCCAATCTACTTAAAATTGGACCCATCTCATAGCATTGAGAGGTGGTTATGGTCTTGATATGTTAATAAACGCCTAATTAATAGTTTATATAACATTTAAGGTCTAAAGAAAGACCTGCAATAGGGAGATTTAGCTCTTGCACAATGCCTGTTGAAGTAAGAACTGATCGATTTAAATTTTCAATGGACCAAAGGGACTATTACTGGTATACATTAAATACATTAATTACAAGTGCAATTTCATCCACAATATAAAATTTACAGTAAATTTATGGCACAAACCATTCATGCTTTACTAATTAAGTTATTGTCCAAAAAAAGCTAACACCTGTACATATGGGACAGAATGATTTCAACATCATTCAATCAAAGTAAAATGAAATTCCTCATTAAAGGGAGAGAATGCTAGCCGATTTCAAGTAGCCAATTAGCAGTAGTTCACACTTTGATAAGATGGGATTTTGGCAGTTTTAGGGGATCAAATCCTCTGAAATAATACACAGAAAGTAATTATCGCTGGCCTCCGAAAGGATGCCAAGTCACAATATAGCCACTTGAAAATCTTCACCCCTATCAATTTAGCAGAAGGATCTATGGTTTCTGCGGTGGAACAAAAAGAGAGGGAAAGCCCAAGAATTGACTGTTGGCAACAAATAATCACCTCTCATTCAAACATTGTACACGACAGAATTCTTTGGAGTCGAGTCCATTACGGTTTTTCTACGGCACGTATTTTCAACAACTGTCTTTTATTTTGTAAGCCTATTACTTTCTAAGTAGACGAGGAATCAATAGTAGATAGAATGAAGTCGGCCATGAGTGACAGGAGAGCAGTAAATCCTGATAAATGAAGAAACCAGAATCACGACTTGTCAATCAACTTACCAATACAACAAACTCTGACTTAATCAATCTGCCTATGTGAAAACTGTTTCCACATTTCTTTCAACTCTCAACACTCAAGAAAACAATATTCAGGATATTTTGGCATTTAAGTCACGCAAAATATTTTTTAGATTTCCAAAATATGAGTGTTTCATTTGATAAATATTCAATACTTTCACGATAAATAGCTCTTTTCTTTCCTGGAATCAGTCCTCGTTCACACACTTTCAAACAAAATATTTCAGACGACAGAAGAACTCATAAGACTTCTATGAACTCTCCATACATTTGTTAACTTTTCGGTTATCCCTTTTTCTACTCTTACATATTTCACTGCATAAAAGGTCCAAATGAATATCATAGAATTTCTACACATAATTACTTTTTCAAGTCTTGTTACCGTACCAGCAGTACTACATATGGCACTAGCACCAAAATGGTATTGATATGTAGTATTCCCATAGAAGGGTATATAACCACCTTATATAGTACTTATTGGTAAATTTTGGTGCCAGTGGTACATCAGAAGTCATCTTGCAGCCTGAAAATTCCTATAACCTACCTCCATATGTTGGTAGAAGAACTCTTAATTAATTTATGAAAACATTTTTGTTTTATAGGTACGGTCAATTTAAATAAAAAAATATTACCTTGATTATAGTTTCCACCACCGCCTCCACCACCACCCATACCGGAACCATGTCTACAAAACATAAAAAAACACAGCCATTTATATACAATTAAAGTTTGAAATAGATCAATGTTGATTATCCATTCAAACTTTGATTGAAACCAATTCTTTAACTATATATCATCTTAAAAAGATTAAAATTTAGGATATTTATGTCACCCATAAACTAGGCTAGGCTAGAATAAGGGTCAACGTCTGCTTACTATGTAAACAATTAAGCTTCAATAATTGGAAGTAAATACTCATCCAAGGGAGGTAACTACATTAAATCACCACAATGCTGATTCAAAGATTCAAAATGGAAGAAGTGGATGGGAAATTTCATACAGATTTCATAATAAAAAATACAATAATCATCAAATATATACGATGTAATGTTTATTTAATGGTTTCCATTTAAAGGTCAATTTAAAACGGAACAATGTCGTAACAAAAGCGTTGTCAAAAATTGGAACCGACCGCAAAAAATCAGAACCAGACGGGACGAAAAGTGGAAATCCGCTTTAAAGCGGGAAAAATCATGCCTGAATAAACAATCTACACTAAATCTTCTAATACTCATATATTCATTTTTCATAATCTATTTTGGAACTATTATAGCAATAACTGTCAGCTCTTTATCAAAATCTTACATATTGCATCTTTAATATTTATGACCAATAGATATATTTCAATACCTTATCATACGAATTGCAGACGACACATCTTTATCTCTATAACCACTATCTCTCTGAAAGCCAAGTTGTGGTCTATACCCATCTCTACCACCTCCACGGAATCCACCTCCTCGACCAAATCCCCCTCCCCTTCCTCTGCCTCTACCACGATCACCACTTCTAGCACTAGCTTCAAAATCTGCAGGTTTCAGTACTCGTGGGGGAAATCTATCAAAATTGAAAAGAATGACAATTCTTAAACTGAAATAGCCCCTAAAGCTTGGACCGTCGTCTGATTACTTTAATAGAAAATTATCAAATCAAACACATTTAATATATACTTTTGCTCTTTACTCGAGTCTCCAGCGAAATACAAAATAAAAACAAATAAAAACTTACACAGCACCAGGTAATTGAACAGCTTTAAATAGATGATCTGGTGAGTATTGTGGATCCTTATACTGTACACTGAAATAATATACATATATATACTGTAAACGGAAATAATATACATATATACTTATATTTACTGTACACTAAAGTAATAAATATATACTGATATTTACTGTATCATACTAGTTAAATATGAAACCAAATCTAGATTCTCCTTCCAGATTGAACCGGGATTTATTTTAGTGTTAGAATAACGAGTCTGCGAATGGTGGATTCTGCATTATGATAGAAAGATACACTGCCAGGCAAGAAAACATATAACAATTGATCACCAATGATCATAATTGCACATTGTAGACATTCCACATGATTCGCCTATTCTTTTAAAGAGTCGTAACTTTTTATGTAATTACCAAAAAATGGTTAAACTCTTCTTTGTGCCACTAAAAAATTCTAAAATGCTACTTGGGCATCATGTGAATAAAAATGGCTGTACTTAAATGTGGGAATATAAAGCGAAACAATGAAAATTCTTGTCCATGTTTGGTGTTTGTTTATATACTAAAATCATATGGTAAGACACTGTGAAACAGCGCTGAGCTTGAAAACATAAAACATATGAAAATATAATTTACTAACCATAAACAACGATTATCCATTAAGTGGGGTAAAGCTCCTAAGGGAGAAACAAATCTCCTACAAAACAAAACAAAATAAAAGATTCATAAAATGACTGGACCCCTTCCTGCATGTAAAAGTACCCTGTTTGGGCAAAGGTTCTCTCATATCACAAAGTTCTCTCATGTGCCCGTCTTCATTAGTCCAGTTGGCACAAAATAAGTAGGATGTTACAATTACAATTATTTAAAGAAATTTGAGTTCTATAAATAAAGACTCACTCTCAATCCTAGAGACGAACACAACAAAATCAATCGTAAAGAATATTCAAATAACAAATCAATAGTAAGGAATAATCAAATAACAAAATCAATTGTAAAGAATAATCAAATAACAAAATCAATCCTAAAGAATAATCAAATAGCAAAATCAATCCTAAAGAATAATCAAATAACAAAATTAGTAAAGGTTAGGTACGTACTGTCCAGGTAAAACAACATCTTCATCAGGTAACAAAGTACCACCCATACCTTGTGCTAACTTGGTGTTTAATTCTATCCACTAGAAATATAAATAATTTAAAACAACAAAATATACAATTAACAATTTCATATAGTTTACCAATGACTCGCACTAAAATCAGCTATTTTGAATCCCTTGCAAACTACACTATTGTGAAAGTTGATTCTCAAAATGAGTATATACAAAGATATGATAAATTCAAAATATCGCAACATTGAGCATCATCTGCAGACAATATAAGTAAGCCAACACCACCTTTAATGTTGGGAAAGGTCTTTTGATCAATCTCTTTTTAATCCCACTGAATCCAACGTTCCTGAAGCAATGACCGCAAGTTTTACAACATCTCGACGTTGCTACACTGCTTTGCAATTCCCAAACTTATAGCTATGTTATATCCCTTTATCGCAAACACATGAACAGTAGTGTCTAATCAGAGGTTGTGACACAAACACACTCAAATCACACATGGCGACCTCCATGAAAACCTTTACATTGAATGAACCTTGAACATTGCAACTCGATTATCACAGGTAGACATTTTAGCTGAAAAGCGTGAGACTCGTTTTTCGCAATGATCGAGGAATCTGATAAGACTCAAAGCTGGGTTAGTACCTGATTGAAATTAGTGCCAAAATAAGCGGGGAATTATGTGAAGGGCTTGATAAGATGTACAGAGTTAAATCGAGATCAAGCCTCCTATTGAAGATGCCTGAATCCAAACCAGGAGCATATCTACCATTGATTTTATTGGGTTTTTTTATCAAATGTCAATATGAGAACATTTTAGCATGGATTAAGCCATGAAAATTAAAGATTGTTTGAAGCTTTAAGTAAGGTGTTCTTTCAGTGTGAAAAACAATGCCTGAAATTGGCCTGAAATAACCTAGATTGCTAAGCAGATCAAGTTACTAACATGCTAACATGTGTTTGAGCCCGAAAACAAAGTTGTGACTAGTTCCCACCCAACCTGTTTTTGTCCTAAAACAAAGTTGTGACTAATTCCCAACCAACATGTTTTAGTTCTAAAACATAGTTCTGACAAGTTCCCACCCAACACGTTTGTCATTACACAAGAATCTACTTACATCAGAAGGTTTATTGCCATTATACATTTCTTCAAAAAATGCATAAGCAGGTGATTTCTGACCAACAAATAATTTATCTGATCCTCGGGTATTTCTTTTACCTAATAAAACAGTAATCAATTATATTAGATCATGTTGGGATTGGAGTTAGACAATCAGAAAAAAAAGCTGAAGTATTTGATCTGGATATATCGAGTCAAAATTCTGTATCAATAAATCAATGAATTACAATTATTGCACTTATGTAACTCTGTTGGTGCATGCATTATAATCCTCATCATCTTTATCTCGGACCTCCAGACACTATTAACCAGTGATGAGTGAAGTGGTGTATTAATATACATGAGATTAATGAATATTAAAACTACTTACGTTCACCCTTTGTAAGATCAGGATACACGGTAGATAAAGCCGATAATAATCTCTTCTCATCAACAAACGGTAATAACGCTACACCTAGAAATATAAATAATTTATATACATAAAACAAACTTAAGAAAGAACAAGATGAACACTACATGATAACAGAAAACAATTTTTATGGAAATCAATCAATGACTTTATTCTAATGATAAAAGGATACTTGTTGAAACGTTGTGCTTTTAGAATAAAACCAGTGATTGTTTCCCATAAAAATTGTGTACTGTTAATGTGTTTCCCCAATTGCTAAATGCCACTTAAACTTAAAGATTAACTACATAATAACCAAGAATCAGATCTCAAAACCTAATACTCAAAAAGTAGGAGATATAAATTAAAACTATCATTTAAAGAATACATGAAAAGCTCCTTTCCAAAACACAGTTAAACATAATTTATTTATAAGGCTACACAAAATAAATATCTTGTTTCTCGGGCAACTGACAGCTGAAACTGTAGGGGGGGAGGGCGGTTTATTTTTTTTTTTATCTCATTTCTGGCTAGAGGATGGTGCAAAATAAAATTTGCCTTTTGTTGAAAATTGTTGGGGCGGGAGGGCGGCCTTGTATTTTTTTTTTTTTAATAAGAAAGTCATTACTTGTCTACGGTTTTGCTTTCAGTTATATATTATACATACTTAGAACATAAACCCAAAAATCAAGTCTACTCAAACACTGAACACTGACTGAAAGGAAAATAATTTTCCATATTTAATTCACGTAATGTAGCTTACTAATGGTAATAGTGACAACCATAATTGAAATTGGTTTAAAATAAAATTCCGTACGACTATTAATAGCCGTCCATAATAACGACAATATTTTAAAGAGTAAGCCTCTGTCAGCATGTGTATCATCATCATCACGGTAAACAACACTTCGATCTAAATCTAGTATCGCTGGTTTATAATGATTGACCTAATTCCAACCAATGTCACGTGTCATCGGGATATGACTGTTTCTCAGGTTATTCGGTGTGTTTCTCAGGATATTCGGTGTTCTATCTGGGGTTTATATCGAATGACTATTTAAATTTAACTAACAACTCGTCAGTAAAACCATCAAATGTGTAATCCAATTATTATTTTCCGGATTATCAAAACTACCGTTAAATGGCTAATGACCCAGATTCTGACTAAGGTATGGTGACTATCATCGTATCGTATTCGTAGCCACAAGTTATAATAATTAACCTGTTCTACGATTCATTGTTTTATAAGTAGGATTTTTTTAAACATGGACCGACTGAAGCCGGCAATAATGAGCCGATTAAGATCGAATGATTGAAATACATTGCATTGTTGTCAATGACTTTCGGTGTTTAACACGATTCAAATTCTAGTTCACAAGGGGAGGTAATTAAAATCACGTGATACAAAAATGGAGGTTCTTTCGATATCAATAAAAAAGACCCGTAAATGAGCGTTTACATCTGAATCAGTTTAATACATTTGAATGGATATTCACGTAGGGGGCATGTAGATACATGCGGCATATTTTTTTTATGACTTGCTTATCGATGTTCGGGCGGGCGTTACATATTTTTTTTTTTTTCATCAACACTAATAAATAGGCCGCTTGCGCAACCAATTTTGCGTGCGGGCGGTGCCCGAGAAACAACTTATTTTATTTGTGTTGCCTAAACGTACAATGGAATATTGTTTTAAAATCATTTATATACAATTTCACCTTTCATAGACAACTACTTGTTTTCCCCCATGATAGCAATCATGTTTCAGCATAGACCTATTCAAATGAAGTCCATACAATCTTTTTTCAGAAAGCAGATAAAAAAATATTTTCAATTGCCTTTTAATTTTTTAATTCTATAACTAAACAATAACACAATAATGTGAATAGTTTTTTGCTTAGTATAAAATAAAATATTACATACCTTGCCAAGCATACTTTTTACCATTTAAATCTATCTTAAAATCTACTGGATAAAAATCAATAATAGGCGATTCCTACAAAGAAAGAAAATATATAAAATTAACATAGACGATATAATTTAATTCTAAACCCAGTTTAACTGTGGTGAGTAAAAGAGATCTAGGCCTTATTTAGACAATTTTAGTAGGTTGTGCAAGCATAAATTTCATTGATAAGACACGGACCATTATGAGAATATAAAAATAGGTTGCCAGGCAACAAAACATACGATCACAGCAGCCAAGTTGTCGGGTGGTCAACAAGGGTGTGTATAAATTTATATTAACTAAAGTCGCAAGAGTGTCCACAAGACTTTTCCATTTGACCAAGGACCATAACTCTGGCAGTAATTATCGGTAATTGTTGAAAATCAATAGGCTTCTTCGTCTCATGACCTTAAACCCTGTGTATACATTTAAAGTAATCGGATATTAACTTTAGCCTCTAGTGTTTCCACAAGCAATTGTGGACGCTGGACCAACAGACAATATACGAACACATTTCAATGTGGACATATAAAAACTTACAGGATCATACATGAGTGTCTGCCATGTTTCTGGTAAATGTTGTTTACTGGCTGCAGGAAATACCCCCATTAATTGTTCTAGTGGTTTAAACTAAAATATAAAAAATAAAAAAAATTATTAAACCATGTCTTTACAGTATTACAACACTGGCCATGTCTTGAAAACTTAAAAACTATAATGACTAATTTCACGATTTTATCATTTTTTTCTCATTAATATTCTTACAAATGAAATTAAGAAACATTCTTACTAATGGAATTAAGGAATATTCTTACTAAAGGAATTAAGGAACATTCTTACAAATGAAATTAAGGAATATTCTTACAAATGGAATTAAGGAAAGTTTATACTTACAGGTTCTGTATTTCTTTCGAAGTCATTTGGTAGATCACCAATATTTACAAAATCTGATGCAAATGGTGCATAATGATAGGGAAAATACCATTTCCATGATGCACAACCCTGAAGAAAATGTAGGTCATTTCAAGTCTATTATGATACATTAAATGCTTATGTTATTAATCACATGTTATTTAACAGTGGGAGGAAAATTGTTTTCCTTGTCAACTACAAACAAATCATTGCACTCACGGCTTGCATAGATGACAGATCTGTGATCAAAAATCATAATTTTACAGCAAATCATACAGACGAGTTAGGTAGATTTGGAATAGATTAAATGATTCAAAGCCAAGGTTCTGTGCAAAGGATACAATCAGATTTATTAAACTGTAACTACTGTAAATTACTCACCTGATAATAATAACGTAAAACCCAACATAACCCAGTTACATAATGGTTAGCCTATAATGAATAAAACAAAAAATAAATATCATTCTGTTATAGGGTTAAAAACAAACGTAAATTAAGAAAGCATGTGTCTATCCTCTGCAAAACTTAAATCCATTGTTCGTCATTTGCATTTATTTTCACAGGTGTTAATCTCGTGTTTAAAATTTAGTAAAATGAATCAAAATTGATTTTTTAACATATAATTAAGAAAATAAAATCAAACTATCAACGACAGATAATCTCCAGATTTGAATTCATTCTGAATAAAAACAGCTTGATCCAAAAACTTTAATTAAGATTATAGGTGAGGCTGGCTTGATAATATCTCATTGATATCATCTGCTGAGGATGTCGAATGTTGACAGACTTCCAAATCGTCATATCTTTGTAAATACCGAACATAATTGAACCATTTTTAACTTACTACAGTGTGTCTGAAGTCTATATCTGAATCATCTACTTCAAATTTCTTTTGATAATATCTATCCTTCCAACCATCCTCCCATAACCTGTAAATACAAATCACATATTATTCTAACAAATAATACAGGGTAATGCTTGTTTAATTACTTATTTAATTTCATAACTTAATACACGGTAAAATGTACTCAAAGTATTCTTTCAATATTTGATTAAGACAACAAAACCAAAATGGCAATGGTAGATGTTTTCCTGGTTTGAATTCAATCCCATACAAAAGAGACCCTCCAACAGATTGTAGGCTACCCAACATGTATAGGTGACACAGGCTTTTTTTTTATATCGTCTGCAGTGGACAAATTTTCAATTCATATCTGTGTAAATACGGAAAGGAGCAATTTTTGGACTGATATTTATTTTTAAAGTCTATCAAATAATGATCAGCAGCTTTAAATAAGGTTCACCTAGTTAGTATAAAATGTCTAATATTATCATTTGATAATCGTGAAATAACGTCCTACTTTACTGCACCAACTGTCAATGTTTTTTTTCTTTACTCCCATCCGATCAACTAGATACTGTCCTTGCCAGACCCGGCATCACTGATAAGAGGAAACTGAGCTGGGAAATCCAGGGGAACTATCTTGTCAAAACTGGGATCGAACCACAGACCTCCTGGTTAGTGAGACAGCGCCTTAATAACTGAGTCACTGCAGCTCTTGATAATCACATGGCTGCCGACAAGAAATACTGCTCAAAGTTTAATCAATTGCCAGCAGCGATATATATAAATTGGTTGTAATAAATTAAAATCTGAGTACAACGAGAGAAATATATATAAAAATAGATATTACTTTATATTATGCACTTTACTTATCATAGGAAAAATGTTTTTAAAGAAACAAAACAAAACCCAGTTCACAAGAAAAAATTATTTGTTTTCGGATTTCCCTAATAAACTGAGTGATATTTACGAGTATAAATGAGTATAAATGATAAATTGTGTTTAATGTTTCTAGAAACATTATCTTATATTGATATTCCTGAAATATGTGAACATTACTGATCATGCCTTCGTAATGAACGTGTAAATATAAATATTTGAGATTGTTCAATACCTTAAAATTAAGTAATTAGTAATTAAAACTATTGAATTAATTTGAACAGCAGATAAACAAAAATAGATATATTTGGTTGTACTCAGACTTTAAAATGAACAAGACATATATCTACTGTTTTTACTTCACGTTATCTTCTGGTTCGGGATCAGAATCCTCATCTGCTGGACCCTGTTTTTCTGAAGGACGTTTAACACCACGTGATTCAGACCCGTTTCCCATGTCTGCTTTTAAAGCTGCAGCAGCCGATTGATTAGACGAATCTCTTTCTGTTTGATAAGATTGTTTTCTCATATCATGTATTGTCTGTTTAGGATTAGATATTGCTGCCACATTTCTACCAACAGGCTGAAATGGAAACAAAAAATGTTCCATTAAAGAATTGTAGAGTTGTTAACATTAGAGATATGTTTCTTGAGGTTAATTAGGTCATCAAGAACAATCAAAAGCAATCTGAAAACTTATTCTGAACTAGAATTATATTTCTTTTAAGCTAGAAAAAAGAAAATTCTCCGAAATTGACTAGCAAGCTCACAGTAACTAAAATATGAAAGAAATCCTTGAACACTTTGGCAGATGACTGTATGTCATTAGCATGTAAACACTAATATACAGTGCGCCAGTCTTTAACAGAGTCTCTGATGAAAGCCCACAGGCAGCTCTACACCTTATGTAAAAAGGTGGGATCAAACTCACAATATTGCATCGAGGACTGATTATATTAAATATTAATATCAACATTTACCTGCGGAGCATACTGACCACCTTGTTCCCATCTTGGACGATTTCCTGTCTTTTGCTATAAATGAAAAGACGCAATCAAATTTAGATTTAAAAACAAATTCTAAAATAACATTTTTAATATTAATTTTGCAGCAGTAAATACATTATTAAACATTGACTAAAACTTATTACATACATCTCTCATTCTCTGTCGTTTCTGTTTATTTCTCCGTCTAAAATCCAACTGAAATAGACATCATCATATCAATTATCAAGTTTTCAACAACCTCATGTTACTAAATTCTAAAAATGAGTTAGTTTTAAAATGTCTAACATTTGCTAATAATTGGTTGTTTTTTTTATTTTTCACTAGACTTTCTATTATTACTAAGAAAATAAAAACACAAATAGCTTTTCAATGCAAGACAAATGAAAAAATTTATTAAGGACTAGTTGGATCCTAACAGTCTATTAAGTAAAAAAATCTCAAATATCATTAATATTTATAGTCTACTGGAAAATGAGGGTTTTTTTGGAAACTATTTTGTACTTTTTTAAGGAATGACTTGATCCTAGCAGTCCATCAAGTAAAAAAAATCTTAAATATGTTTAAAGCCTAAAAGAAGATGAGCCAGGTGTGGTTTTTTTTTTGGGTGAATTTGATGAGGTTTATTTTTTATTGTTTCTGATTATTACCTCTGTATCTCTTCTTTTTTTGAATATTTCATCTTCTACTTCTCCTAAAGCTATAATCAATATATACATTGTCATTATAATAAAATATCAATTACAAGTCAATAAGTTAAATAGAGCCTTTGAATGATAATATGCATGAGTTCTGTTTTTTAAATAAAGTCGTTCAATTATCCCTTTGTATTACATCTGCTAAAAAGTTGAAATATGAACACATCATGATTCTATACTTTGGGAAATGTACTTGTTGATCGAGAGTTATACCAGAATCTCTTTTCACAAATTACTTGATTGAAGTTTAATGTCCAATCAACACAATACTTCAGTAATTTTGAGACAGAGAGAGAGAAATGGGGTTTAACATCCACTTGACACAAAGTAGGTCATTTCAGGACTAACATATGCTTCAATTTTGTTTCAATAATTTGCTTGTGCATAAAGGTCTTTAGCAGTGGGAGGAAACCAGAGGACCCAGAGAAAAACCACGAGGTTGGACAGGCGACCCCACTCCTTGTCACATACCAACGAGGAATCGAAACCACACCCCTACTCGACTTATCGGTAATTTTGAGACTAACATACAGTTAATGTTTTTTCTATGGTCATATATTCAATGCTCAGACGGTAAGTTTTGGCCTGACAGTGGCGTTTCCATCTACTCTTTATCAAATTCTAAGGAAATGAAATGAGATGGGGTTTAACGTCCTACTGTTCTCAAATCCCAATGATCTTTATGTCAGACATGATGAGAATTTACTTACCTGACATGACAACTTGTACTCTAGGTAAACTAACTACCCCACTATCTGTTAAATATCCCTAAATGAAATAACAATACAGTATTGTATTTTGTGTTGTTTAAGTCCAAATTTTTTTTTCTAGGAAGTCAAATCATAAATATATACATACCACTTTAATATAAATAAGGTTTGATCAAGTCGTGATACCAAATGTTTCTTGAGAATACTAGATCAATAAAGGTGTCTAATTTACAGATGGATATTGGCAAAAATATTCTAGTTATTACTCATACGTGAATATAACTAAGATGAAATTCCACTTGTTAGTCAAACCAATTTTAGCATGAGGTAAATATATTTTGTGTTAAATTGTTTTTTTAAGTACTTACCCCTGTTTTATAAACTGCATTTTTGTATAATTTAACTAAACGATCTATTGCACCCTCCCTGAAATAAAATTGTATTTATGTTAACCTCACAATGTCAATGGCTTGATATTCTTGTTAGAGAGGAGCTTAGTGTTCAAAAAGTCCACTACTTACATTAAAATATCACAATGTTTATCACAATGTTAATATAAAGGACAAATTATTATAAACTAACCTGATTTCTAAAGAAGGTAAATGTGGTAAAAAATCATTTCCAACAAAAAAACACATAAAAACCCAATCATCTAAAGCTCTCTGTAAAATATATTAAATTATCATCATCAATTCATTTCACATATTGTTTAGGTTCATTATGGACATGAAATGGGCTTTAACGTCCTACTTTTCTGTACTATTCATTGTTGAGCTACTTGATTAAACGTTCTGAAATCGATCTCGGTCAATACAAGAAACGGGGACTGAATACAATAATATTTTCTAACATCACTGTCAAAAGGTTTCCGTAATCATGTCTCATTTCTACTGACACCATGTAAATTTGTTATCTAGACAAAACTCAATTCTGTTATCACTTGATTGCTATTTCATCAAAAATGTCAGACTTGTACTAACTTCTAATATAATTGGTATTGAGACAGTCACAACTTGATTGCAATTCAATCAAATCAGAATGTTTCGGAGTCACCATCAAGGACTCTCTATATCTTAAATATTCTTTGTTATTATAAGACATAAAAGATTAATCTAATTAGTAACACAAATATCAATTGTATTAGCCAATATATCAAGTAAAACAGTTTTATTGAAGAATATTTTATCTCAGTTGAACGCCTTACCTCAAATTCATATTTAAAAGGTAAATTTGTCATTTCCAGCTCTTTTTCTAAATATTCACGAAGTATATTTAATCTGAGGAAAATAAACTCTACTTCTGAACCCATTACTGGTGGTGCATCACTCTATAAAATAAACAAACTTATAAATATATAATTAAATGTATCACATATCAAAGATTCAAAATATGTTATTCATTTTCCTGTATTATAAAATCCTTTTGCTCTATTGATCCTTTTTCTTGGTATTATTGCATCAATTTCCGGCACCCGTTTCCTGAATCATTTTCCTGTATTATTGTAACTTTTGAAATCGGAAGATTATTAAAATGAACATTCTTCTGGTTCTTGGACGCCATTTAAACTAAACAAGTAACAAGAATGGCTATATGGCTAAGTAAAATCTGTTCATAAATGATAAATTTATCTCTCAATTGTAATGTGTTAGCATTTTTCAAAATGTATTGGCATAGAAGAATTATCTGCAGTTTCATAATTACAGGCAGTTTTAATAATCCTGTCAGAGAAGTCAAACATTTTATGAAAATATGAAAACATATAAACCTATACCTCAGCTAATTCTTTAGGTATGCCACAACAATCCTTTAATTCGTGACCAACTTGTGAACACAGTGGACATGGTCTAGCTTGATTAGGTTTAAACTCTTCTCGTATAATTGTAAAATTAGGTTCATGTGTAGCTAGACCTACAAATATAATAACATAATCAACATAACCAAAATTCATCAAAACTATCAAAGCCACTGACTTTAAATCCCTTGCAAACTACAATGTTGTGAAACTTGAATCTCGAAATGGAATATCAGTCCAAAAATGGTTCAATTTCGATCAGTATTTACATAAGTGTTGGTAATGTCTTTTTAATCCCATTGAATCCAAATCAGGAGATTATCTACTCTACTGCTCATATTTTGATTTTGTTTCCTTAATTTTACGTTAAATGATCAATCTGAGTAAATTTTAACGTGGATCGAGTCGCAATCTGGTTAAAACACAGATCCTATTACGTTTCGTTTTTATAGTTCAAAATTTCGTTTTACTTGTCAATACTACACTTGGATCTGGAAGACTTGTTAATTAACTCGTGTTCTGCTTAAAATGAGGGGTCAGCCAATCAAATGGTCTGTCGAATCGAGTGTTTGACCTTTTTTGCCCGGAACTGTGGGTAATCCACTAGTAACATCAATGCTGATTGGTTAATCAAATGTCTGATGTCATAGGTCAAAAGTCGATCTTTTGACCCCTGACGTGACCTATCGCTATAACTTGTCAGATCTTCATGTAGTGTAGGCCATCGAAAGTATAAAAAAACGAAACTAAATATAGATCTGTATTTTAATCAGATTGATCGAGTCGTGAAAAAAAAAAAGAACTAGTAAGCAAAATGCAAACAGGGAATGGCGACTTTAAATACTCAAGTTATGTTATCAAACTCACAATCAAATAGATGCTTTAAAAATAAATGTTTTCATAAAGTGACAAAAAGAGTACTGCCATCCACGACATTCAAAAGAAACATTTTTCAAAAATACTGTAACATTCTGTAAATGTAGATTCAAAACATCCGTACAACAGCAGTACGAAACAGACTTACATGTAAGTTGAAATGAGAGGTGGTTTATTCATCTTTGCAATGTTTTGGGTTAAAAGAGAGAGAGAAATGGGGTTTAACGTTCACTCGACACAAACTAGGTCATTTCGGAGGACCCAGAGAAACCAATGAGGTTGGACAGGCAACCCTACACTCCTTGTCACATACAACCAAGGAATCGAAACCTTGCCAGTTGACTCAATGACAGACCTTATGATATAATGCACACTCGCTAACCATTCGGCCATCCAACCCTCTTTGGGTTAAAAGACTCTTTATCAAAATGTATACAATGTAAGTTATCTAATAAAACTATACATTAATATTTTTTTCTGATAATACTTACAATAACTAAAATAACCATATGCTTTACTTACCTAACATAATTAAATCAGCTGTAAAAAACAAATAAAATTAATAAGATTATTGAGAAACAAAATATTTTATACACAACATTTTTGCATAAAAATCTTTGATATATCAAAGAAATATGGTTTATTTTACTACTGTCTTCCTATTTCTCCGTTTCATAAACAATTCTTAAATCATTGGCTATATGTTCCAGTTAAAACATTTCTGAACATTTGCGAGAAAAATTTACCAGTACATTTCTTCCGCCTTGCACAGTTCGAAAACATACACATCAGTCCTCCTGCACTTACTATACAATACAATCTAACTATATGACTTGGGGGCAAGTTTGATAGTTATCGCATCTGATCTGGTCTATTTTATTTACACATTGTCAAAACGATTTGTGTATAATGTCAGTATTTGTCATCTTGGAGAAATGTGTTATATTCAAATGATGGACTATCAGGGTTTGGATTCAAATTTGGCAGGATAGACAATAAACAGAAAATGCAGATTTGTTTCTATCAAACATGGCCTAACATTTTCAAATCTCTTGGGTAATGTGTTAAAAATCTGTATCAACAACATTAGGAATTGACTGATCATTTCAGATCTCCATTCATTCATTCATTTCTTAGAATGGTTTCGATTTTTTGAACTGAAGATAAATAAAACAGCAGTTTTATTTGAACTTTCCCTTTAATAAGAATAATATTGAGTGCTAAATAAAATCTCATATCAGTTTTCATTTTAATATTAAATATATGAACAGAAATGAAAGGTTTATATAATGTCCTACTGGGAATTTTGCCCAGACAGCCCAGACTCCAGCTGTCAAGGGATATTTTATTTACACAGGACCTCAGTTTTTGTCCAATCCAAATGACTATGCATTTTCCCATGCCAGGCTCTTTGACGAGGAGACACCCCTCCACCCTCTTCCCGGGAACTCTCTCAGCAAAATATATGATCACCAGTTGATCAAGTCAAACTCAATTAAATCAAATTAGTTGTGTCCAACTCCGGAAGACAGTTAATATGAAATTGTCATTCGTAAAAAATCATGAAAAGATTTTAATATATTTAACAAATGTCTTACCATCAGCTCCACATAAACAATGATGTGTGTTGGGGTCATGATCTGGTTGACCTGAAAGCAAACAATTCAAAAGGATTAAGATTTCATTGGATGTTAATTTTATGTTAAAATTATAAAGGAAGAGACAAGTTAGATTTTTGGTTTTTTTTATCATGGATTATAACATATAAATATCAGTGAGACCGCTGATAAATTTTAAAAAATAATCTAACCTCTTTGTTTTCTGATGAAGTCCATAATTTTATGTTCTCCTTCACCTGGTACATTAGCATCTGACAGAATAACTTTAATATTAGCCCAACCTGGATCAGTGTTTATTCTATCATGAATATAATATCGTAAACATTTAGCTAACCGGAACATAAATGGTGTTCCCTAAAATACACAAAATGGTATCAAATACCTGTATTGATGTAATAAATAATACTTTTTTTATTACAATTTAAAGTGAAATACATTTAGCTTTTTAAACCGACTAATTGGCAAGATTGTTCTATTAAAAGCTTGCTATCTGACCCTTGAACCCTATGGCTTTCATAAGGGTAACTTTAAATAATAAGGCTCGATTGCACTGGTTTTAATGACAATAAACTAAAGTCCAATATTAACATCCAGTAGTTTATAGATTAAAAATAGACTGGAAAGTAATGATAACTTCCTAGTTTCATATACTTCACTAATGAAATATTAATATTTACAAACAATCCTTTTAAAGGTAAGAGCAATGCATAATAATACCCTTTAAAGAGATACTGCCAGACACTGTAAATGTGTTTAATGAGGTCATTTACTAAGGCGATGGAATCTGTATTTGTTAGCTGTAAAACCCTGAATACAGCACAAACTTATTCCAATTAAAATTCATTTACCCAAGAGCGATTTGTTCATACAAAGAGAGAGAGAAATGGGTTTTAACGTCCACTAGACACAAACTTGGTCATTTCGGAGAAAACCCACGAAGTTGGACAGGCGACCCTACTCCTTGTCACATACAACTGGTGAATTGAAACCTCGGCAGTTAATTCAATGACTGACCTTATATTACAACACGCATGTGCTAACCATTCGGCCTTCCAACCCCCCTTGTTAATACAGGGTGAAGAACACTAAAACAATGCATATTCCAACTCAGTGATTGAAAATAAAAAGAATAGAGATACATACAGGAGTGATACAATTACTGTCAAATTTCTCTTCTACTTTTTTTTCTGGAGGTAGATGACAACCTTTAGCTGTAAGTTCAGCTCGTAGTTTACTTATCTCTTCAGCTGTTTCACTGTAAAATCAACAATATTTAATTATATTCAGGTATATTTATATACAGGTATCTACATTAGAGAAGAGTAATTGCTTGAGCTCAAATGCAAACTCATGCATTTGCATATCTAGGTAAGGTTTCAATTTCTCAGTTGAAACATGAAAAAAGCTTCTGTAAAACCTAATATACATTTTAACAATCCTTCTATATGATGACAGAATGCACCAAAAAACTCAACAAGTGTCAACAGTAAAACTGCATCAAAAAAGCCATTTAAAGCATATTACTAGAGTAATTTAGTGAGCTTTATTTTAGCAGAATGAATTTGATTCCACCCTAAGATGAGGTGAGTTTTCCTTAAGCTCTCCTTCAAGACATTGCACCTACTGGGCTGACAAGGAAGTGTGCCTTGTCATTCAGATGAGACAGCCTATATTCTACAACATAACATGAAGGCCTGTAATACATACTAAGTACATTACATTATCATCTAAACTGAAATGAGATGAGGTTTAACATCCTACTGTTCTGCTCTGACTGGGATAATAGAGACAGGCATATGCCATATATTGTGCTATGAGGGAAATTTAGTTGAACAGCTGCACGAAGGCCTTCTCTTATATTGAATTCTAACTGTCAAGGGCTCTTTTGCGTTCACGCTAATGCCAACATCGGGATCAAACATGTGATCTCCAGGTTATCGAGCCGACGTCTTACTCAGTCAACATCCAAATTGATCTATTATCATAAATCATAAGAACAAGTACAAAACAAGTCAGATTCAACTCAAGGGGTCTTAGATCCTCATAAACAATAAACATTGATAGACATAAACTGCTTAAGATTCAGTTGAATGGATCTTCCCAAGTGTGTAATATTCTTGTACAATATTTGTTGGATTATACTACTCAACTCCATCTAACATAGGGTGTTTGGGTGGCCAAACAGTTTAACGTGTTTGCATCAGATCATCGAGTCAAGTGGCAAGGTTTTGATTTACAGGTTACATGTGACAAGGAGTAGGGTCGCCTGTCAAATATTGTGGGTTTTCTTCGGGTCCTCCGGTTTCCTTCCACTGTCAAAGTCTCCTACACTCAAGCAAATTATTGAAATAAAATTGAACCATATGTTAGTTCCAGAATGTTCTAGTCTATCTCCAGTGGGCCCATTTGTCTATCTCTCACATAATCAATAATCATTGCTTGAAAAAAACTGCTCCATATTCAGTTAAATGGATCTTCCCAACTGTATAATATACTTGTACAATATTTGTACTACCCAACTTCATCTAAAATAGATTGGTCTTATACTTACTAGCTTTCTTTTGATGCTCGGAATCTTCTAGATCTCTGTTGATTCATCTTAGCTCTAGGAGCCTGAAAAACAAATTAGGGTAATTTAAGCAACGTTGATACTTGACACAACAAGTACTATGGGAGCCTATACTTATTCTAATATTCAGTTTTATAATTATGGGGTGTTTTGTTTATCTGTGTTCATATTCAGTAATTTTCAATTGGGAAAATTGAAAATAATATATAAAATAGGAATACGAAATAAGCTTATATGATCTCTTTGATAAAACGATCTATTATGGTATTCAGACCCGTATGACTAATTTTCATTAATTATTAGTAACATTAAGGGTCTTCAGACCTGACAATGTCATGTAATAAACTCTTATTTGCGTATAAAGTCTGATGTATTTCTTATTAGCATTATCTTCATATTTATATTTTTTTGGACACAGAACTCACATTCAAATAGAGAGAGAGAGAAATGGGGTTTAATGTCCACTCGACACAAACTAGGTCATTTCGGGACCAACATATGGTTTAATTTTATTTACACAATTAGCTTGCGCGTAGGGTTCTTTAGCAGTGGGAGGAAAACAGAGGACCCGGAGAAAACCCACGAGGCTGGACAGGCGACCCTACTCCTTGCCACGTCCAACGAGGGATTCGAAACCACACCAGTCGACTCAATGACAGACTTTATGATACAGCGTGCACACACTAACCATTCAGCCATCCAACCCCCCACATTCAAATATGTTTGTGCATAGGGATCTTTAGCATTAGAGGAAACTGATGTACAAATCCATAATTGCACCCATGACTTGCAAAGATAAGAGATCTTATGATCTACATCTGATGTTTTAGAACACTTGAACACACAAATCCCATATATTTAATGAGAAATGTTGCTTCATTTGATTTTAATTAGCATTACAAGCTCAGTGAAAAAATCTTCAATTTATTTACCACTCCATCAATAGCCATGTAGAGAACTCTTCGTGGTCTCACTACAGCAAAGATTCTGTCTATATATTCAAATATCAATACCATCATCTCATCTTCATTCTTGGGTGCCGGTCTGAAAAAAAAAATATCAACACCATTAAATCTTATAATTTATAAAATAATTATTCTTAATGTATGCTAAAGCAATAAATGACAAAAAGATAATAAAAACCAAAGAGTATGTTAAACCCCCATTTCATTTGATTTATAATAATAATAATAATAATAATATCTTTATTAGGTAAGAAATTAGGCCAGGGCTTTTTACAATTCTGCCCTAACAAATTGGCAATTAAAAACTAACATAATTTTTCAGCTAACATCAGTGGGGTGTAGTATGTTGACTCCCACTAAGCTATATTGTGCCAAACATAATATGTTAGTTGCAAAAAGGTGTGTAGAATCAGTTCAGACCAGATACAACTACATCCAGAAACATTAGAGAAAAGACAGTTTAAACATTGAGCAATTGGAAATGACTGGGGTTTAACTTTGTACTGTCCATCTTCAACCGGGCTAATGAAGATGGGAAAAGACAATACAGTGTCCCAGGTTCTTTTATGTGAAGCAACAATGGCCCAGTTTTTAATCCCATTCAAATGACTAGACATCAGTCATTGTCCGGCTTTCCTTCCCACTGACAAGGGGAAACCCACATTCTTAGCCAACACCGGGAGTGAATCCATGACCTCCTGGTTAGCAAACCGGTGATTTACTCACTGAGTCACCCCAACCCCCATGAGCTATTTGTGTTTTCTGTATTTATTATCCAAGGAGTAGGAGTCATCCAAAATTATGTTGAGGCATATTTCAGAAATTACAAAAAGAAATTTACTTGTCCTCAGGATGACAACATGGATGAATGATACCATTCATATCCAAATATAGATTATCAAACTCAACATCATTAGGATTCTTTTGACTGGTGTCTACTGGTATTTTGACGCCATCAACCTCTTTTGGCTGAAATAAGAAAAGATAATTAAGTGAAACGACATGAAAAACTATTTATAATCTGACATGTGCTCAGTGATAAATTCCCTCACACCATGCAGAAGGTTCAAATATTATTATCTTCAAAATTTAGACAAGCGATTCAATCTACAAATATTTTCAAACATTATGCATATGTACCTTACCCAAACTCTAAACCTTGATGTTCACGGATGTGCAATACAGGAAACTGAGTGGTACTGGGAGACATATTCTAGTATTTAGCTATCAGCGAGGTCAAATGCGTCTTGCAGCCTACATGTACTTTCAAAACAGTGTGGCTGTGACATGTAACATATGGGTAAAGAGCTAGCTTAGCTGCCAGTATATAGAATTATGAATTACCGATCGGATTTTGTTAAAAATGCTGCTTGATTACTACACTACATTATTTTTAAGATGTTACATGCATTAATAAAGAAATTAAGTTTGCCCCAATCGTAGCTAAAAACAAACATATCAGTATATTTCAACGTTTTTTGGCTACATTCCCGTAGCTAGGTTATGGCATACATAACAAATCATAAACAGAATCTAAACTCTTTTAATAATTTATATATCATAGTCTCACTGATTTCATATAAAACCAATTGCTCCGTAAATTAGGTACATGTATCTGTGAAATTACATGTGTTTGAGAAAATTAATAGTACATGCATAATCACTTGATTTGATAGTAGGCCCTTCTTTTATAGTTTATTACTTGCAATGTCAAAGTATGATGTGTTTTGTCCGTTTATGTATAATGTGTGTTTATAATATGTACATGTATGTATAATTTGTGTGGTGCGGTTCTCCTGCACCTTTAGTAATTAAAGTAGGTCAGTTATTTGCCACTTTTGAATGAAGATGATGTTCCAATCATTTACGAATAAAACTGCAATTTGGGGGTTATCTGTCCGAGGAAGGTAATCTATCTGCGATCAAGATATATAGCCTAAATCACACTGGTTTCAACTACTTTTATACCGATTTTCGAGGACGGACAGAGGGCCTGACAAGGACAGCTGTCGAGTCGTTCAGATGGGATGCAAAGAACTGAGGTCCTGCGTATGGCATGCACATAAAAGGCGCTATTGCACTTTCGTACCTCTACCAGTTCCCGTGGTCGTAGGAAGTTAAGGGGGACTAGCAATGACCACACACCAAATTTCAGCCGAATCGATCAATAACTTTTTATTTTACTGACCTTTTAATTTCTAACGAGAGAGAACTTCATCTGTTTGACGCCATTTGCTTTGTTTACTATTTAGACTCGAATAACAAGACACTAAGACGGAAACCGACACACTGCACTAGCTGCCTATCTCTGCAGTTCATAAAAATTAATATAATTTTCGTATACTTTAATTTTTGCGCGAAGCCACCATGTTCTATAAAATACTATTTGGTGTTGATCAGTGGATTGGCCTTTAGGTGTATTTTCAAAGTTAATGTTCGAGGTGAAAGCAGAGACGACGTCCTTCAGAAAAGATAATTGGGTCAAAGTCGTAGGTCAAGGTCATGTTACAGAAAACTAAACTCAAACTTTTCAAAGTCATTTTTGGGACAGGGCCAGGGTAAACGTCGATGGTTCAAGCCAAGATGATGGGCTTTGAAAATTGTTATGGGTCAAGCTCGTAAGTCAAGGTCAAATGTCCCAAAACTGACCTTGAAAAGTTTGAGTTCAGTTTTCTATAACATGACCTTGACCTACGACTTTGACCCAATTATCTTTTCTGAGGGACGTTGTCTTTGCTTTCACCTCAAGCATTAACTTTGATAATACAGTAAGAAATAGGGTCACGGCAAGCATAAACGAAAAGGGCCCGAGATTGATGGGAAGTTTGGACTCAAGGTCGAAGTCAAGGTCACGGATGGTTAAAGGTGACTAGTGGAGGTCACCACGAACTTTCACATTGACCACGCCCTTTGACTTCCTTTCGGACACGGGCCCCTCTGCGTTTGACCGTTTTCTGACCGAGCAGTGTGCGACAGGGCCAAGGTAACCGTCGATGGTTCAAGCCACGATTATGGGCTTTGAAAATGGTTATGGGATCAAGGTCGTAAGTCAAGGTCAAATGTCCCAAAACTGACTTTGAAAAGTTTGAGTTCAGTTTTCTGTAACATGACCTTGACCTACGACTTTGACCCATTTATCTTTTCTGAAGGACGTTGTCTCTGCTTTCACCTCAAGCATTAACTTTGATCATACAGTAAGAAATAGGGTCACGGCAAGCATAAACGAAAAGGGCCCGAGATGGATGGGAAGTTTGGACTCAAGGTCAAAGTCAAGGTCACGGATGATTAAAGGTGACTAGTGGAGGTCACCACGACCTTTCACATTGACCACGCCCATTGACTTCCTTTCGGACACGGGCCCTTTGCGTTTGACCCTTTTCTGACCGAACAGTGTGCGACAGGACCAAAGTAAACGTCGATGGTTCAAGCCAAGGTGATAGCCTTCGAAAATGGTTACGAGGTCAAGGTCGTTAGTCAAGGACAAATGTCCCAAAACTGACTTTGAAAAGTCCGAGTTTAGTTTTCTGTAAGATGACCTTGACCTACGACTTTGACCCAAGTATCTTTTCTGAAGGACGTCGTCTCTGCTTTCACCTTGAACATTAACTTTGATAATACAGTTAGAAATAAGGCCACGGCAAGCATAAACGCAAAGGGCCCGAGATTGATGGGACGTTTGGACTCAAGGTCAGAGTCAAGGTTACAGATGGTTAACGTGACTAGTGGAGGTCACCACGACCTTTCACATTGACCACGCCCATTGACTTCCTTTCGGACACGGACCCTCTGCGTTTGACCGTTTTCTGACCGAGCAGTGTGCGACAGGACCAAGTTAAACGTTCATGATTCAAGCCAATGTGATAACCTTCGAAAATGGTTACGGGGTCAAGCTCGTAAGTCAAGGTCAAATGTCCCAAAAATGACTTTGAAAAATTTGAGTTTAGTTTTCTGTAACATGACCTTGACCTACAACTTTGACCCAATTATCTTTTCTGAAGGGCGTCATCTCTGCTTTCACCTCGAACATTAACTTTGATAATACAGTAAGAAATAAGGCCACGGCAAGCATAAACGCAAAGGCCCCGATATGGATGGGAAGTTTGGCCTCAAGGTCAAAATCAAGGTCACGGCAATATTTACACCTAAAGGCCAATCCACTGATCAACACCAAATAGTATTTTATAGAAAATGGTGGCTTCGCGCAAAAATTAAAGTATACGAAAATTATATTAATTTTTATGAACTGCAGTGTTAGGCAGCTAGTGCAGTGTGTCGGTTTCCGTCTAAGTGTCTTGTTATTCGAGTCGGTTTCCGTCTTAGTGTCTTGTTATTCAAGTCTAATTAGTAAACAAAGCAAATGGCGTCAAACGGATGAAGTTCTCTCTCGTTAGAAATTAAAAGGTCGGTAAAATAAAAAGTTATTTATCGATTTGGCTGAAATTTGGTGTGTGGTCATTGCTAGCCCCCCTTAACATCCTCTGAAAATTTCAAGTGCCTATGACCACGGGAACTGGTAGAGGTACGAAAGTGCAATAGCGCCCACATAAAATACCCCTTGGCAGTTGGAATTCGATATAAAATTAAGAGTAGGGTATAGTGCCACTGCCCGGGCAAAATTTCCCTCATAGCACACTGCATGACGTATGACCGTCTTCATTAACCCAGGAGCAAAACAGTAGGACGTTAAACCCCATTCATTTCACTGATTTTCGATGTTCTTTTTAAGTTTTAAAAAAAAAAAGAATCAATCATCACGACACGATATTCAAAACTTGCCATAGAACGGCTTATATAAAGGAAATATTTTCAAAAATTTGTATTATAGAATACCTTTTCCTCGACACAGTGGACAACAATTGATGCATATTTTCTACTCAACCAGCGGAAAAACGCTGGAACTCCCATAATTTCAGAGAGTCAATTTCTTAATTTAATTTTCACGTGTTGACAAAAGTTTGCTGAGAAAATTATCCAAACGACAATTCTGTTTAACTAGATTTCATTGGCTAATAAAGGGGGTTTAACCAATCAAATTTAGTTTAACATGATTCCTTGAAGGATAAGGTGAAGGTCGTCTATAATAAATTTCCGGCTTTATATCCGGCATATTTGTAGTCGTGAGCACCAGGACTTAAATAATGCAAATCAATCAGCAGCAAGACTATTTGATCAAGACTATATAGGGCAATATTCGGGCCACCATATCAATAACAGTCAATAATATTTTATTAAGATCGCTAATTGGTAGAAAAGATGAAGCTGATTTGAATCTCATTTATGGCTTATTCGGATCACTGAAGAAAATAGAATATTGAGACATCATTTGCCGTGATTTAGCCTCACTGCTGGCGAAAAAACCATTCACAATTTAATTCTGCTGAATCCAATCTGTGTAAAATAAACGGTACCCGGACCGCTCGGACCAAAGACCAGTCGGACCAAGCCCAGCCGGGTTAAAATGTCGTGATGTCGGGTCGTCGGCCATATTCCTCTCAATAAAATAAAACCAAGTACGAACAATCCAAACCATTAGACGAAATTCGAAGTCATAAAAAAACGGTATAGGCAAAATAGTTTAATAAGGCAAAATAGTGTAATCATGGACTGTTCACCGTCTACAAAATCATGTACACCGATCCTGTTGTTGGTCAAGAAAGTTCCCCGTGATTTTGCAGCATGGTTTCTCCCTGTCGGTAGTGCAGGACAAAGGGTCTGACAAAGAACAATGTCTAGTTGTGTAGATGGGACAAAAAAACAAGCTCCTGCGTACACATTGATGTGTACATAAAAGAATCTTTGACAGTTGAATTTCGACGAAGAAATGCCACGGTGGATTGAAAATTTCCATCATAGCACTCTTTAATAGCCCGAATGGCGCAGATAAGTATGAAAATTGAATGACATTTACTCGACATTTTGACATTTTTAATGTCGTGGTGTCGGGTGAAAATGTCGCATTATCGGGTTGAAATGTTGTATTGTCGGGTTAAAATCTCGTGATGTCGGGTTAAAATCTCGTGATGTCGGGTTAAAATGTTGTGATGTCGGGTTGTCGCCATATATGATGGGCGACACCACGACATCACGATATGCATCTGCAATGTACGTAATGGGCAAAGTTCTAAAAGATCAGAGAGGTAATCATGAGCTAAATTATTTAAACGTTTAAAAGTATGTTATAAAATCTTAAAATCAATCCAATTTTACAGGTGACCAGTGTAAATTAAATAATGTGATCACAGTGATCACATTATAACTTAGTTAAAGTAACATGCCTGACTGCAGTATTCTTAGTTACTTTAACGGTGTCTGGACAGCCTAGCCTAGTCCCAGACACCGTTACTAAAGTAACTACAGTATTGTAGGTAGACCAACTAACAGTGAATTAAAATTATGTAATCATGAAGTGACCAGAGAATTAACAAGTGACCTCTACAGATAGGAATTTACGCAATTTACCATAGCACAGTTTACAAATATTATTTACTTGAGCTCCAATTAGCATGGAAATATCAAAGACTGCCCCGATGTTACGAACAGGATAAAACGAAAAAATATCACAGTTACTAATACAACCGGGGGTTATTGTGTACAAATTTATTTAATTGATGCCTTGAGTCTAATTCGGTTTTATCACCATTCAATTTTATTAAGTTCTTTGACATCAATTTTCTAATACCACTAATGCAGTTCTCAACAGTTTTGATAAATTGAAAGAAGATGGACAATTAGGTCTAAAAGAAATATGTAATTGAGAATCATCTGCATACAAATGAAAGCTGAGATTTACTGACAATGTCGCCTAATGGGTAACGTATAAAAGGTAAATAAAATCGGACCAAGAACAGAACATTGAGGAACCCCTGATGATAAAAACGATGCAGACGACGATTTATAATGAACTAAAATATACCTTTTTCTACCCACAAGACATACCGACGATGTCCACAAGATAGCTTTCTAAAAGATTTAATGCAGAGCCACAAATACCGAATTTAAAATGAAATTTACGTGGAAGAATAGAAGGACCCACTGTGGCAGATAAATCTAATCAAATTAAAAATGTACATTTTCTATTATCAATTCTCAGTAAAATATCATTTGAAACGCGGGTTAAAGCTGTTTCGATACTGTGAAATTATTTGTAAGCAATTTGAAATGGTTAAACAGTTATCGTGTAGATGAGCATTGATCTGTTATAAGGACAGTAACAAGGCTGAACATCTGTGGCGAAAACAACCTACCTGTCTCCATAAATAGAGTTATAAATCTTTTTAAAAAATCAGTGTGATTAAATTAAATGAAGACGCTAAAATTAAATAGAAAATGGTGAAAACAGACAAAAAGATCCGTATAAAGTTGTGAAATCATTATTGGGTCACAGTGCTGAGCGGACTATTCTCCCGGGATTTATTCTCGGATTACGTTCAAATAAAGATACAGAAATACCATCTGAACTTGGTGTTTTACATAAAACCATTGACTTTAACGCTCATGATCCATGAATTTGATACGTTAAAAACTTCTGTTTAGTTAGAAAACTCTAACTTATCAAATCGTCTGCTCCTAAATCTTGTTTACTAGAGCCTGTTCCGGCTCATGTTCTTAAAGATTGTTTAGACGACGTTATTCCTGTTTTTACCAACATTATTAATTCCTGCATATCATCTTCTACTATTCCCAACTATCCTTTTGTCTTCTAAAATAACCATTATGGTTAAACAATCATACCCTAATACTAATTCATTTTTATTAAGTTGTAAAAGTTAGTCGTGGCTATACGCCCGAATTTCACCCTTGGTCTTCATTCATTAACTCAAGTTCAAGGTCTCTGTTACTTCTCGGAAATACCAATTGTATTGCGAAATAACAGCAACAACCAAAGCTTCTGTTTTGTTTCACCAATAGTTGCTTCCAGCATTGAATTTAATTTATTGGTTAAAAGTTAATGAATAGGTAATGAATTTAATTAAATTTTTATGATGTACCATACCGGTATTTAGTAGAACTGGAAAAGGCTATTTTCTGGATCCTGACACAGCTGATCACAGCTACAAACAATCGGTTACACCCAAGAGGGGTTATATAAAATACATCAGATGAGTATGACAAAATAATTACTATTGGGAAAATAGTCATGCCATACCTTTTTAAAACATACAGTATGCTTATACTTTTTTTTTTTTTTTTTTTTTTCTTTTTTAAATGGCCATATTAGTCGATTTCAATACTTGAAAAATAGACGAAAAAAGATTTTATTCAGCTGACTTTTGAGTCAAAAGCTTAGTTTGTCACAAGCCGACAGGGGAATAACTATTTCCCAATATATGATATGTATGTCAAAATTGGACTGTTCAGAGGGTATAAATATTATTGTCTAATGTTTTGAAAAACACAGATTGGGTTTTGGATAAGTGGTACGGTACTGTTAGTTTTCAAACAGTTTAAATTTTTTAAAGAGACAGGTTTTTATAACAAATTTTCATTTGTATATATAAGTGATACTTTCTGTTCTAAATATTTATGTGCATAAAAGATTGATTTTATTTTTGTTTTTATTTTTTGTCATATATACCGTAATTTAGCCTATCTCGAATTACTCACCATTTGGCACAATATATAGCCTGGTTGGTGCTGACGTGCCATTAAACCACATTTCATTCATTTATTTATTTATTTCGTCTGACTAATATTATTACTGAAATTCACTTCAAACTACTGGAATTCTCCAAAAAGTACTTAAACTCACTGGAAAGTTCTAGAATTCAGCGGAAATTACCAGAATTCAGCGGAAATTACCAGAATTAACAGGTAAATAACATTGTCCCATACTATGTTATGTTGCACAAGAGGGAGGAATTTTGCTAGGAATTAATTCTAAAATTATTGCTATTCATGTAGGCCTACCAGCATTTACATATAAAAGGATTGGGCCTACAAAATTCACTAAGTTATTATTATGTCAACAAAATTTATACCCTACTTCAGTTTCATGTAAAATCCAGTAGTTTCATGTGAATTCCAGTAGTTTCAAGTCAGTTAAGGTGTCTTGTAATTAATTATTGTACTTACTGAATTTCTGAAATGAAATGATTTGAAATGGGGTCTAACATCATACTTTTCTGCAGACAGGCATACGTCATGGAGTGTGCTGTGAGTGAAATTTGGCACAGACAGCAGCACCACAACCAACATTTACATGTATTTCATATTCCAACGTATTAGGATTCTTTTACGTGCATGCCAACAATCCAACAATGTGTACACAGGAGTTCACAGGACCTTTTTTCTATTCGTCGAAAAGTAAGGAGTGACTAGACACTGTTCCTTACCAGGCGCTCCACATTTTCTCAATGAATTTCTACACTGTTGCGTAAGATCTTTTTAACATAAGCTCACATGTAAGCTCACATTAGAAACGACAGATTTTGACATAGCTGTGTTACATGTATGCACAAAACTTCAGTGAGTTTTATAAGCTTATATATATATGACCAGGTAGTATTTAATACAGCCATTCACCCAATACAGGGCTAGACTAGTATATTAGAGGAAAGATTGTAGATCATAGGTAGAACCACACAGGCAGGCAAGGGACAGACTGAAGGGCAGGTCTCTGATAAGTTATTTCTTAGATAATTATGACCAGGTAGTATTTAATACAGCCATTCACCCAATACAGGGCTAGACTTACACCACAACGTGGCTCCCAAGATGGATTATCTATAGTAAGTTATCAATGGTCAGCTATGATAGAGATTAGAGACAATAGTAGTAATGAGATAATCCATCTATAAACATTAGTCAACTTAGTAAATGAATGAATGGATGTCACTTAAATACTACCCATTAACAACTATAAAATATTCTTAAGTTTAAATATATATAATTACTATGTATTGTTTATTGTTACCAAGTAACCTCTAGTATATTAGAGGAAAGATTGTAGATCATAAGTAGAACCCCACAGGCAGGCAAGGGACAGACTGAAGGGCAGGTCTCTGATAAGTTATTTCTTAGATGCTGTTCCTTTTTAAGTTACTTAGCCTGTGGGTCAGTATTATATATATATATTATCATTGTTAAATGTTGTTACAGAATATAAGATTATACTAAGAGAAGTGAGTTATTGAATTATTGTATGTCCAATCGTACACCCCCAATAGATTGAACATACAACCCATCGTCGAAGGTTGGACCATAAGCAGGTCCATAAACCCCGGATGATACTGACGTTCCATTAAACCACATTTCATTCATTTATTTATTATTTCGTCTGACTAATATTATTACTGAAATTCACTTCAAACTACTGGAATTCTCCAAAAAGTACTTAAACTCACTGGAAAGTTCTAGAATTCAGCAGAAGTTACCAGAATTAACAGGTAAATAACATTGTCCCGTTGCACAAGAGGGAGGAATTTGGCTAGGAATTAATTCTAAAATTATTGGTATTCATGTAGGCCTACCAGCATTTACATATAAAAGGATTGGGCCTACAAAATTCATTAAGTTATTATTATGGCAACAAAATTTATACCCTACTTCAGTTTCATGTAAAATCCAGTAGTTTCATGTGAATTCCAGTAGTTTTAAGTCAGTTAAGGTGTCTTGTAATTAATTATTGTACTTACTGAATTTCTAAAATGAAATGATTTGAAATGGGGTCTAACATCTTACTTTTCTGCAGACAGGTATGACCAGGTAGTATTTAATACAGCCATTCACCCAATACAGGGCTAGACTTACACCACAACTTGGCTCCCAAGATGGATTATCTATAGTAAGTTATCAATGGTCAGCTATGATAGAGATTAGAGACAATAGTAGTAATGAGATAATCCATCTATAAACATTAGTCAACTTAGTAAATGAATGAATGGATGTCACTTAAATACTACCCATTAACAACTATAAAATATTCTTAAGTTTAAATATATATAATTACTATGTATTGTTTATTGTTACCAAGTAACCTCCAGTATATTAGAGGAAAGATTGTAGATCATAAGTAGAACCCCACAGGCAGGCAAGGGACAGACTGAAGGGCAGGTCTCTGATAAGTTATTTCTTAGATGCTGTTCCTTTTTAAGTTACTTAGCCTGTGGGTCAGTATTATATATATATATTATCATTGTTAAATGTTGTTACAGAATATAAGATTATACTAAGAGAAGTGAGTTATTGAATTATTGTATGTTCAATCGTACACCCCCAATAGATTGAACATACAACCCATCGTCGAAGGTTGGACCATAAGCAGGTCCATAAACCCCGGATGATACTGACGTTCCATTAAACCACATTTCATTCATTTATTTATTATTTCGTCTGACTAATATTATTACTGAAATTCACTTCAAACTACTGGAATTCTCCAAAAAGTACTTAAACTCACTGGAAAGTTCTAGAATTCAGCAGAAGTTACCAGAATTAACAGGTAAATAACATTGTCCCGTTGCACAAGAGGGAGGAATTTGGCTAGGAATTAATTCTAAAATTATTGGTATTCATGTAGGCCTACCAGCATTTACATATAAAAGGATTGGGCCTACAAAATTCATTAAGTTATTATTATGGCAACAAAATTTATACCCTACTTCAGTTTCATGTAAAATCCAGTAGTTTCATGTGAATTCCAGTAGTTTTAAGTCAGTTAAGGTGTCTTGTAATTAATTATTGTACTTACTGAATTTCTAAAATGAAATGATTTGAAATGGGGTCTAACATCTTACTTTTCTGCAGACAGGTATGACCAGGTAGTATTTAATACAGCCATTCACCCAATACAGGGCTAGACTTACACCACAACTTGGCTCCCAAGATGGATTATCTATAGTAAGTTATCAATGGTCAGCTATGATAGAGATTAGAGACAATAGTAGTAATGAGATAATCCATCTATAAACATTAGTCAACTTAGTAAATGAATGAATGGATGTCACTTAAATACTACCCATTAACAACTATAAAATATTCTTAAGTTTAACCCTCCAGTATATTAGAGGAAAGATTGTAGATCATAAGTAGAACCCCACAGGCAGGCAAGGGACAGACTGAAGGCCAGGTCTCTGATAAGTTATTTCTTAGATGCTGTTCCTTATTAAGTTACTTAGCCTGTGGGTCAGTATTATATATATATATTATCATTGTTAAATATTGTTACAGAATATAAGATTATACTAAGAGAAGTGAGTTATTGAATTATTGTATGTTCAATCGTACACCCCCAAATAGATTGAACATACAACCCATCGTCGAAGGTTGGACCATAAGCAGGTCCATAAACCCCGGATGATACAGGCATACGTCATGGAGTGTGCTGTGAGTGAAATTTGGCACAGACAGCAGCACCACAACCAACATTTACATGTATTTCATATTCCAACGTATTAGGGTTCTTTTACGTGCATGCCAACAATCCAACAATGTGTACACAGGGACAGGACCTTTTTTCTTTTCGTCGAAAAAGTAAGGAGTGACTAGACACTGTTCCTTATCAGGCCCTCCACATTTTCTCACTGAATTTCTACACTGTTGCGTAAGATCTTTTTAACATAAGCTCACATGTAAGCTCACATTAGAAGCTATAGATTTTGACATAGCTGTGTTACATGTATGCACAAAACTTCAGTGAGTTTTTATAAGCTTATATATATATCGGTGGACAAGATCTTGGTGTATAATTTGGGTTTCATTTGCTGCAGTATGTCTTGCTAACACTTATGGTCAAATCAGTTTATAATTTGGAATTAATATCCAAATATGTTATAAAGATGGGTCTTTTTTAATTTCAGATAAAACTATGGCTGCATATCCACCAAACCAACAATATGGTCAATATCCACCACCACAGGGAGCCGGTAATATGCCCTATCCTCCTGTACAGGGATTTAGTAATCAAGGTTTTGGAGCACCAGGAGGTGTACCCCCACCACCCTCATATAATGAAGCTACTGATAATAAATTTCAACCACAGCAAGCACCTCAACAAAGTAATATTTAGTTTTTCTTAAATAAAAAATATTTTTATTATGTCTTATAGTACCATAAACATTTAATCTAATAATACACACCTTTTTATACGCCCACATTGAAATGTGGTCGTATATTGTCGTCGCCCCCGCCCGTCCGTCTGGCCGGCGTCCACAATTGCTTGTGGACGCTCTAGAGGCTAAAGTTAATATCCGATTGACTTTAAATTTATATACAGTGTTTAAGGCCATGAGACGAAGAAGCCTATTGATTTTCAGCGATTTCCGATAATTACTGCCAGAGTTATGGCCCTTGATCACTTCAAAAGATCTTGTGGACGCTCTAGAGGCCAAAGTTAATATCCGATTGACTTTAAATTTATACACAGTGTTTAAGGTCATGAGACGAAGAAGCCTATTGATTTTCAGCGATTTCCGATAATTACTGCCAGAGTTATGGCCCTTGATCACTTCAAAAAATCTTGTGGACACTCTAGAGGCCAAAGTTAATATCTGTTTGACTTTAAATTTCTACACAGTGTTTAAGGTCATGAGACGAAGAAGCCTATTGATTTTCGGCGATTTCCGATAATTACTGCCAGAGTTATGGCCCTTGATCACTTCAAAAAATCTTGTGGACGCCCTAGAGGCCAAAGTTAATATCCGATTGACTTTAAATTTATACACAGCGTTTAAGGTCATGAGACGAAGAAGCCTATTGATTTTCAGCGATTTCCTATAATTACTGCCAGAGTTATGGCCCTTGATCACTTCAAAAAATCTTGTGGACGCTCTAGAGGCCAAAGTTAATATCCGATTGACTTTAAATTTATACACAGTGTTTAAGGTCATGAGACGAAGAAGCCTATTGATTTTCAGCGATTTCCTATAATTACTGCCAGAGTTATGGCCCTTGATCACTTCAAAAAATCTTGTGGACGCTCTAGAGGCCAAAGTTATTATATCCTATTGACTTTAAATTTATACACAGTGCTTAAGGTCATGAGACGAAGAATCCTATTGATTTTCAGCAATTTACAATAATTATGGCCCTTGATCATTTTGAAAAATCTTGTGGACGCTCCCGAGTCTAAAGTTAATATCCAATTGACTTTAAATTTTATACACAGTGTTTAAGGTCATGAGACGAAAAAGTCTATTCATTTTCAGTGATTTTCGATAATTATGGCCCTTGATAACTTCAAAAAACCTTGTGGATGCTCTAAAGGCTAAAGTTAATATCTGATTGCCTTTAAATTTATACACAGTGTTTGAGGTCACGAGGCGAATAATCCTATTGATTTTCAAAGATTTCTAATAATTACTGCCAAAGTTATGGCCCTTGATCACTTTGAAAAATCTTGTGGACGCTCTAGAGGCCAAAGTTAATATCCGATTGACTTCAGATTGATACACAGAGTTTAAGATCTTGAGACGAACAAGTATATTGATTTTCAATGAATTTTTATGACTTGGAACAGCTAAATCCATGATACAGTATTAAAAGTTTTGTATACAAAACGTTAGCATGGGGCAGAACTTTATAAAAACCAAACAAATTCTAATGGTTTTCTGAGTTGTTGGTCTTAATCAGATTTTAGTGTATTATAAATGTTTCATTACCGAAAAAAGTAAAAATATGCGACAACTCTTGTTGACTGCCCGGACGATTTAGCTGCTGTGGGCGTATGTTTCGTTGCCTGGCAACCTATCTTTTATACCGCCAAATTGATATGTACATGTAGTTGTATATTGTTGTCACCTTTGTCCTCATCTATGCACAAGTCTAAAGTTATACGGTTCACTTACAATTTATGTAAAGTCACTGAAGTGTTTATGTATTGATAATTACTTCATGGGTTATTACTCTTGATCAGCTTTAGTGACTTATTGTAAATGATCCAATTAGCAACAAAAGAAAAAATGTGCAACAACCTTTGTTGTCCTACTGACATCTTAACTGGTGTGGATATATGTTTACATGCCGGGCAACCTATTTTTCAATCATCTGAAGGATTAGAGCCAATTTGTTTTATTTATCTATTTATGGATCAAAAGATAGTGAATACATCCTGGTGTATTAATCACCATTGACAACAATGTTTTATTTTAGTATCATTGACTAATCATTTTGTTATGAATATTCAGCACATACACAAAATAGTTGATAGAAATAAATCCATATATTCTGTTGAATTTCTTTGCTATCAGATTGGAAATCTTAACCATTAACCAAGATCACAAATTTCAACACTCTACCACAAAGACCTTGAATGTAATAATTAATTAGCCCCAACTTGGATAATAAAAAAGACTATAAAACATGGGCTACTAAATTCACTTGTTTAAATTGTATCATACTGTGCAATACAATTGAAAGATGCATTATGTAAGATTTAGATAAAAAGCTGACCGTTTCTAGCTATAATAGTTAAAAAATAGATAATGAAATATGAATATATTGAAAATTGCATACAATTACTTTAATCTGAGTGACGTTACTGTTGGAAGATGTAGTGTATATTGTTTATTATTATATTACGATCGAGGCTAAGTCTTGATTATCCATTTTATTGTTTAATTTCTAAATCTTGCATGTGTTATAATCCTTTTAAATCTCAGCCATCTGATGAGTTAACGAGTTGATTATAGACTTGTCATGTGAATAAATGTCTGAATAATAGTTTATATAACATTTGAAGACCTGCAATAGGCAGATTTAGCTCTTACATTATGTATCTTTAAACGTATGTATGTTTACAAACTGTGCAAGTGGGGGAAAAAGTCACTTTTCTTTGAAATGCACAGTAAACTACATGTAGTCTTGAATAAAATAGCCTGGGACAGAATGAAAAATCCAATTTCCTTATGTTTTGTAATAAAATAGCCTAGTAGAGATTGAAAAATCCATTGCAAGAAGGGAAGTGCAAATTAAATACTTTTCTCTCAATTTCAGATTTCCAGCCAGGTATGCCAATGCCTTTACCAAAGATGCCAGCTCAATATTCTAATGTTAGTTATAATGATAATAGTGATACCAGTGGAACTGCCGAAAACTTTTCTTCCTCATTCTCAGACAAAGCCATTCGTAGAGGATTTATTAAAAGGGTATGTAAACAATCTGATTAAAACACAGATCCTATTTCGTTTCGTTTTTTATAGTTCAAAATTTCGTTTTACCTGTCTTGACTACACTAGGATCTGGAGTAGTCAATATATTACGGGCGTTTTGGTTGAAGTGGGGGATAAGCTAATGAAACGCTCTGTTACGGCGACTTCTTGGCATGCCAGGTACGGACCTGTGGGTAAACCACTAGAAATGTCAACTCTGATTAATTAATCAATGTCTGACGTCATAGGGTCAAAAGCCGCTCGTATGACCCCTGGCACAACCTTTGATTATAACTTGTCGGATCTTCATGTAGTATAAGTCATCGAAAATGTAAAATAAAAAAGGAAACGAAATATAGATCTGGGCCCTTATTCACGAAAACTTAAACTAAGATACAATCGAAATTTTAAGAAATACTGCAATTCGATTGGCTGACCAGTAAAATCAATTTGCATATATCCAATGAAGTTGCAGTATTTCTTAAAATTTCAGTTGTAACTTAGTTTAAGTTTTCGTAATCAAGGGCCCTGTATTTTAATCAGATTGGGTATGTAGATTTTATGATTAGGAATTATTTGATCAAGTTAAAATTTCAAATTGAAGACCATCAAGAAGGAATTTTTCATGATTAATATTGTTCATTGTTTAATACATTAGAAATGTGAATTAATTTTATTTTTTATCTTTTATCAACCTTGATTACAATTTATATTTAATTATCAAATTAATTATTTATAAATATTTGTATTTATATTTCAGGTGTACCTGATATTAATGACACAGTTGGCTGTTACTGTGGCTTTTATTTGTTTATTCTTGTTTGTGTAAGTACATACCTTAATAAAGATTTACTAGACAGACATTAAAAAACATGCAAGTCATTTATTCAAATAAGTTGTCACTCTTGTTTAAATTGAAGAATTTAATAAATTGTGAATTTAAATTTTGTTTTAACAACATTCATTGTGATTACGTCATTATCCTGATGTCCAGAAAAAGAACACATACAGAATTTTTGTGATACATCAAATTCACCTTGCACTGTCCCACGAGGCATCCATCATCTGGAGATCATTGCTAAATAAGAGGTCTATTCGATACCATATAGAGATGATTTCAAAGCATGTCAAATCAATATGTAAAAATAATCCTGCTTTCTGAAATTACCCTACAAACATTTTCAGTTGTTTTCATTTCTTATTTAAATTTTAATTCAATATTTATTTATGTCTTACAGTGATAGTATAAAAAAATGGATTCAAGGTCCCGGATTTTGGTTTTATTACGTTTCTTAGTAAGTTCCTATTCTTTATTCAGTTTTAATTATAACAAAATAAGTTTCAGAATTAAAGGAAAGAACTAATTTAAACTTGCTTCCGATAAGTGGTTCCTATCACACTGAAAATCAGTGGCCTGTTTGAAATGGGGCAGACATTAGTCTGTCAACATTTTTTGTTTACCATAGTCATAGTTATGCTACTTTTTGATTTATTGATATCAGATAGAGGTTATTATTATTACTTAAAATGTATATATTTTGTTATATAATCTATTTTTGCATAATTTCAGTGGAACATTCCTTGTGACATATTTTGTACTGGTTTGCTGCCCAAGTGTAAGGTAAATATCCTTTGAAGTCAAGATCTAAACATGTTTAACCTGGTGAAACAAGGAGGAAAATTTGATGTGTTACTCTTTCAATGTCCGCACTGACTAGACTATATTGAGTCAAATATGATAAATTTATTGAAGAGTAGGTCATGTGATCAAATTCTGGGGAAAAAATTGTACATGTGATGGAATGGAGTTCTTCATTTTCTCTCGTTTCAAGCCCATTTCTTTCCTGTCCACTCTTCCTTTAATAGAAGAATAGATTAATACAATAAAATGAAAGTAGAATGAAATTAAATTTTTGTATTGCTTTTTACAGGAGAAAGTATCCTGGAAATTTTATATGTTTGGCAGTGTTTGTAAGTATGATTATCTTTATTATAATATCACAAAGTATTTAATGTATTGCAGTAACCGCATGGCTCGAAATGTTCGCCTGTGTACTTGTTGCCGACAGGCGATTTTTTCGTCTGACAGTTAGCAAATAAAACTACCTGTCGCTTGCGACAGGTGGACTAAATTTTACTTGATGTTCAGTAAATTGACCATAATACTCACGTCCACGTCACGTACGTTTAATTATTCGTTTTTAAATGCAAGAATTAAGCACGGAAATACCGCAAAAAGCCGCCATTTGCACTGTTTACATTTCGCTCTGTCGTAGGCTACAGTTACTCACACAGTTTGGAAGTAGACAATTTTATATCAATGAATTTCACACCATCTACGCTTGTTTTCATCTGCTTGACACTAGTTTATAGCATTATGGGGTATTATATCTAAATAAATTAAAACGCACCCCCAAGTCACCTGAAATAATTCTACCGTAACGACACCACAGTAAATATAGTAGTGGTTGGAATGGAAATGCACACGGCTCGTTTAAAAAGTTTTAAACAATTTCCATAAATAAAGGCTATGAATAATTTATAAGACAATTTGACAAAATCAAAAAATCAGGTCGGAAAAATATTTCATATATAAATATAATTTGTAGCGTAAATATAGTCTGGATATGTGAGAAGGGAATTCCAGGTGGCGTTATCTGTCCTTCGCACGCGGTACATGTAAATACGGTGCCATGCACAGGTGTGATTTGTGTTTTGATATTCAATTTATTACGGATATTTTAAAATCTGAATTCTACAACTCAACGGTGAAGTATTCGATTTAGTACGGAAGTGTGGTACCATGATACTTTGCGGAATTCCCGTGGATACGGATGATAGAATTGTACGAATCTTCGAGTCGCTGGGCCAAAGCAGATTCGCCGACTTTCAAGAACCTTTAGGCATTCCGATGTCGAAGAAATAAAAAGGTTTCATATTATGTTTATTTATTTATTTATTTATTTATTTATTTATTCTTCAAGTAAAGGTTACAACATGACAATAAATTAATGTATTATAATAAGAACTAGTGTCGCATTACACGACTGGGAAAGTGACAACAATAAATACAGATATGTATATGAAAATAAGAACTATGTGCTACATTGTAATGTGGGATGCCATATGAGACAAGCATAGAGAAATATGATGGCTATGGTGTCATGAAGAGACCTTTACTTAGGAGAGCCCATAAAGCCTGACGTATATAACATCCGTTGCTTATTTCCAATGGGGTCCAAAGTTGCCAAGGTCGCGTCAGGTCATCATTGGGAGGCAAAATTTAATAAACATGCCATCACAGCATTGTATCACAAATAATAAAATATATTTATGTCTACATGTTATACATCAACCAATTTTATTAATAGTAGATTATCAAACTTGTAGTATCACAGATTAACATTGTATTAACAATAAATACTTCTTGGCAGCAGCTTTAAAGCTGTAAAGTCAATCTAAAGACTTAATATCATTCGGTAAATCGTTCCAGACACTTATGGCGGTATAATAAAATGATGTGAGCTGATCTCTACCCGAACATTTTGGAACCGCAAAATTGAATAAACTAGATCTTTTGCCATATTGATGAGTATCTCTAACACATTTGAATTTTGATTTAAGGTATGATGGACAATTATTATGAAAAATCTTATGTACGTGATTGAGTTTTAACTGTTTAACTCGGTTTTCAACATTAAGTATATTCAAATCAGAATATGAAACATGATCTCTCTGTCCTAGCCCATTCACAAATCTAAGAACCTTATTTTGAACAACTTGTAATTTATTTTTAAGTGATTGATTCACACCAGAATACCAGGCTGAGCAGGCATAATCAAAGTGGCACTGAATAAGTGCAGAACAAAGTAAATTTTTGGTTTTTTTGCTAAGGCATTTATTATAGCGAAACAGAAATTTTAATCTTGAATTTGCTTTCTTAATAATGCTGTTAACAGTGTCCTCACCAGACAAGTATTTGTCAAAACGTAGACCCAAATATTTAAGGTTATCTGTTGTTTTTACGGTATGGTTATTGCAGGTTATTGTAAACTCTTTAATACTTCTTAGTTTACGTTTAGGCCCGAAGAGAATACACTCGGTTTTACCGAGATGGAGCGACAGTTTATTATCGATGAACCATTCTGAACAGGAATCAAGAGCACAGCCAAGTGTTTGTGAAACAACTTCAGGATTCTGATCGGAAAATAATATTGTACTGTCATCTGCGTATAAAATAAGTTTACATTTTGAGGGGATACTGATAATCATATCGTTTACATAGCACAGAAATAATAACGTTCCCAGGATACTACCCTGGGGCACGCCACAGGTTATGGAAGCAGGTTCGGATAACGTATCACCAATACTAACTACTTGTTTCCTAAATGTTAGATATGAACAAAACCAATCAGTGGACTGAATGCCCATCAGTTTTAGTTTCTCACATAAGACATCAGGATCGACAGTGTCAAATGCCTTCTGGAGGTCAAGCATTATCATCCCTGTAAAAAGACCTTTTGCATTTTGGTCTTTCAAGTGGTCCAGAAGGTGCATAAGACATGAGTCAGTAGAGTAGCGTCCACGAAAACCGGACTGATACTCATAGAGAAGGTTGTTTTGAGTGAGATATGAATCTAATTGAATGTAAATAGATTTTTCAAGTAATTTTGAGACAATACTCAGGACACTTACAGGTCGGTAGTTACTAACGTCCAAAGAGCTATTCTTTTTGTACAAAGGTTTAACTCTAGCTAGCTTCAAATCACCAGGTACGGTGTTTTCTGATATAGATAAATTGATAAGAAATTGAATGTGAACTTTTAAGACGTCGGCGCCATCTTTTAAGAATCTTGCCGGGATCTCATCGAGACCTGTACTTTTTTTCGGATGTAAATTAAAAGTGCTTTTATGTACATTCTTTTTGGTGTAAAAATTCTGTAACAGAAGTGATTTGAAGTTAAACCGATTGCTAGGGGGAGGTAACTTTTGCACAAGAGTTGATGCAACCGTTGTGAAGAAGTTATTGAAATGGTTTGAAACAGACTTTGGGTCATGGATATTAGTGTCATTTACATTTAAGACAATGTTTGCTTTATCCTTTTTATACGCCCACATTTTCATGTGGACGTATTATGCCGTCGCCCCTGTCCGTCCGTCCGTCTTAAAAGTTCACATTCAATTTCTTATCAATTTACCTATATCAGAAAACACCGTACCTGGTGATTTGAAGCTAGCTAGAGTTAAACCTTTGTACAATTGTTTGTGGACTCTCTACAGGTCACAATTCTTATCTGATTTCGACGAAACTTGAAATATAGGTTTATCCCCAAAAGATCTCGGCTGCTTTCGATATTGGTCACAATTTTTATCCGATTTTGTTGAAACTTGAAATGTAAGTTTATAATCCAAAGATCTCAGTTCCTTTCGATATTTGCGCATATCGGACAGTAACTTCCTGAATTATGGCCCCTGATTGTACGAAAAATCACGTTTTTAGCTTGTGGACCCTATAGAATTCATAATTTTTATCCGATTTAAAAAAACGTTCTATTATATCACTGTTACACCCTAAGGATGACTGCGTTCGAATTTCGTGAAAATCGACCCTAAATTGACAGACAAAATGGCCGCCGTTCGTTCCCAAATAGCGTAAGAATATGATATATCAAGGTTGTGGACCCTATAGGGGTCACAATTTTTATCCGATTTTGTTGAAACTTGAAATGTAAGTTTATAACCCAAAGATCTCAGTTCCTTTCGATATTTGTGCATATCGGACCGTAACTTCCTGAATTATGACCCCTGATTGTACGAAAAATCACGTTTTTAGCTTGTGGACCCTATAGAAGTCATAATTTTTACCCGATTTAAAAAAACGTATTATTATATCACCGTTACACCCTAGGGACGACTGAATTCGAATTTCGTGAAAATCGGCCCAAAATTGACAGACAAAATGAAATGTAAGTCTATAACCCAAAGATCTCGGTTCCTTTCGATATTCGCGCATATCGAACCGTAATTTCCTGAATTATGGCCCCTGATTGTACGAAAAATCGCGTTTTTTGCTTGTGGACCCTATAGAGGTCATAATTTTTATCCGATTCAAAAAAACGTATTATTATATCACCGTTACACCCTAAGGACGACTGAGTTTGAATTTCATGAAAATCGGCCCAAAATTGACAGACAAAATGGCCGCCGTTCATTCTCAAATAGCTTAAAAATATGGTATATCAAGGTTGTGGGCCCTATAGAGGTCACAATTTTTATCCGATTTTGTTGAAACTTAAAATATAAGTTTATAACCCAAAGATCTCGGTTCCTTTCAATATTTGCCCATATCGGATCGTAACTTCCTGAATTATGGCCCCTGATTGTACGAAAAATCATGTTTTTAGCTTGTGGACCCATTAGAGGTCATAATTTTTATCCGATTTAAAAAAACGTATTATTATATTACCGTTCCACCCTAAGGACAGTTGAGATTGAATTTTGTGAAAATCGCCCCAAAATTGACAGACAAAATGGTCGCCGTTCGTTCTCAAATAGCGTAAAAATATGGTATATCAAGGTTGTTGACCCTATAGAGGTCACAATTTTTATCCGATTTTGTTGAAACTTGAAATGTAAGTTTATAACACAAAGATCGCAGTTCCTTTCGATATATGCGCATATCGAATTGTAATTTCCTGAATTATGGCCCTTGATTGTAGGAAAAATCACTTTTTTGTTAGCTTGTTCTCTATCCATCTCTCGAAAATGTGGGCGTATCCTGCCTGGCAGCCGCTGGTTATTGTTTTTATATCCAAGATCTTTAAGATTTTACCAAAGTTTTTTTGAATTATTTTTGTTCTCTTCTAATTTGTTTGCTAAATATGTTGATTTAACTTTCTTTATTACTCTTTGTGTTTTATTTCTAATTTTACAAAAGTTTTTGTAATCATTTAGATTTTCAGTTTTTCTGAAACGGCTAAGATGCCAATCTCTTTTTGATATCAATTCTAGAATTTCACTATTTATCTATGGTTCAGTCCTTTGTTTTAATCTAATGTGTTTAATGGGTGCCACAGAATTCAATACTTCAGTAAATATATCTTTGAAACTTAACCAAGCTTCAGTGACATTTGTGCTATTAAAAAGATTTTCCCATTTTGCTTCAAGTAATTTTTTAATAAATTCCTCTTTGCAGTATTGTTTTAAAGATCTAATTTTAATTACATTATGCTTATTAATTGGGATCCTGTTACATTTCCTAGTACAATAGGTAATGTAATGATCACTGAGACCTATATTTATTACCCCATAATTGTTAATACCAACTTCGGTGTCAGTAACACTGTTATCCAGCCATGTTTCAGAAATTGATATAACTGCTGCCTTAGAATATGACGCAATTAGTCGCAGTTCAGATAATTTGGGTAGTAATGATCGAACATTTACATGAAGAAAGTGTAGTCCTTTATTCGAAAAGCATTGGAATAAATCACTGGAAATATCCGTGGTACTGGAACTCGGTTGTTTTACGTTTTCCTGGGTTTCAATGTTATCATGAAAAAATGGTAGGTTTGCAAAGCTACACTGGTAACATTCAATTTCATAGGATAGAGAACCCTTTAGATTCAATTTGTTCACTATAGTTCGGGATAAACACTTGGCATGGGTACAGGAAAAACATGTTGGGCATATTACTACTTTGGTTCGTTTGTTTATTTGTATTGAGCAGACGACACATACATTGGATTGTCTCCCTTCTCTTCTTGTTGATGTATTACAATTGACATAATTAGTCCTACTTATTTGTTTGGGGCCGGGATGGGGATGAATGTTGCCACACTGGAGTACACATAGAATATATACCATAAAGCATCTTAAATCAAGTGTTAAGTGGAGTTGTTTATTCAAAATTGTTGTACTGGCTGTCCTGTCCCTTGAATGCAAATGGTGGGTGTAAATGGTGAATGCAAATATTTATATAGAGCAATGTACGTCAAAGACCTAACCACGTGTGTGTGTACCTACATGTATGGATATGTGTGATGTAATTAGTCTTTGAGTTTCATAATTGAGAGTGACAGGTTATTTACTGAAGCGACAAGTATGAAGAAAAGCTACCTGTCGATTGCGACAGGTAGCTTTTTTTTAAACATTTCGAGGCCTGAACCGGTATATATTTGATTATTGAAATCAAACAACTCTACCTTGAATATATACTTATTGGAAATTACTGTGATTTCTTTAAAGTTGAGGATCCTAAATATTAATGTTGATAAGAATCATAAAAAAGCTTTGCTTCTTGGCTGTTTTACTTTCCAGCTGTCTAGACAGACTTCTATAAAATAAAAGAATTCAGTAAGGTTTATTTTTATTTGAAAGAAAAAAACCTTAATGTAATTGAACTGTTATATTTACAATTCAATTTATTCATAGAATACTAACATGGACAAATATTATGATCAGAATATAAAGTGGTCAAGTGTTTTCATTAATCCAAAAATATCTCTTCTTGCCATTTGTGGTCTAAGGGGAGATAATATGGCCAAAAGGTCTTGTGGACAGAGTCGTGTCCCATATTTTATTTAAGAACTGTTGACTTCTTTTTTTCAGACACTGGCGTTTTCGTACATGACAGGAACTATAAGCAGGTTAGTTTTAAGGTTTATTGGTATATGTCAGACCAATTTATAGAATATAACTTATGGTGTAGTTGTCCATCCATACTTTTTGAGAAATAGGGAACTCTTTCAATTGACATTCCAGCCAATAGGAAAAATGGCACTGGCGGGCAAACTTCATTCAGAATATTGTGGCAATCTTTTAAGACAATTGTCAACCTTTCTTGGAAACAAAGTTACTTTACTTTTAATAGTGTGACACTAAATTTATATAGAGGATACTTTACATAACATTAGAGAATTTATTTCTCAAATTCACAGACTGACCTAAATATTAGGCCAAATATAAAAAAACTATTTCTGGTTCTAACATAATCCTGCATCACTTACAAAGGGCTGTGTGACCTCGTTTTATTTTCCAAAATGAAAACAGTCGAATCAATTACTGCATGTAATGTTTTAGCTCTGTTAAAAAATTGAACCAATCCAGAAATATGGAATAGTCTCATTTTTCAAGTACTACGTATGCAACCCTGATAAATGTTACTAGCAATCATAAATGATACTGGATAATCATACATGATGAGATAAATGTAGTGCCTTGAAATATGTTTAAGATAAGTCATTTAGCCCAGTAGGGTAGTACTGATCCTTTGACAAAATAAAATCCTCCTTCAGAGATTTTTGGTAAGGATTGTCTGACAACCGGAATATTTTTACAGTTATATTCTTTGTAAGCAAATAAAAATTGTTGCTAAACACTCTACCTCATTTTTTGATGCTGTCCATTATATTTATCAATGTCTGTTTTTTTAATATAATATTTTAATTTTTTAGTTTCTACAGTACCAACATTGTATTGATGGCCATGGGTATTACAGCACTTGTTTGCTTAGCTATTTCAATCTTTGCTATGCAGACAAAGGTATGTTTTAATTTTTTAACAAAAATGAATGTTTTAAGGGTTTGTCTTCTATATTAGAGCTTAAAGCTGAGTAAGGTTTGTTTGTTTTTTAGAAATACTGGCAAGAGGTAGTGCCCCAAATATTGATAAAGGGACATAACTCTTTGTATAAGATCTTACTGTCATATTATCTCCCCTTAGACCACAACTGCAAAGGAATTGCATTGATGTGGTCAAACCAAATCCATGATACTGTTAATATATCAAATCTGACTGTCCAGTGTATAATTAGGCAACTGGTTGTGTAGTTGCTGAATCGAGAGATTTCATGATTAAGTGATGCCTTAGGGATATCAATCGTCGTCAAAAATTTGGCAAAAGATTGGCTTTCTCCAGTCTGTAATCAAATTAGTACAGTATATCATGAAATAGCTAGTATTCCCATAGATCACAGGCCAGTCAAGGTCATGTTGAATGTTATGAATTTTAATGATCTTTATTAATCTAGTTTTATAATTTTTTAGATTGACTTCACCCTATGTTCCGGTTTACTCTTTGTACTTGTTATGGTGTTATTTTTGTTCGGATTTCTGACTATCATTTTAAGATTTGCCTTTGGTTACAACAGGGTAAGTTTTTAAACACATTCTATACTATGGCTTGCTTTTTAAAATTGAGAGAGAGAGAGAGAGAGAGAGAGAGAGAGTTCAACGTCCACTCAACACAAACTAGGTCATTTCAGGACTAACATGGTTTTAATTTTATTTCAATAATTCGCTTGCGCTTAGGGGTCTTTAGCAGTGGAAGGAAACCGGAGGACCTTGATACAGCACGCACGTGCTAACCATTCGGCCATCCAGCCCCCACTTTTAAAATTTAGAATATGATACTATTGTTATTAAGTTATATTACTGGTTGTACTGTTATAAGTTTTGGTATTTCTTATTTCAGATTCTGGATATTGTGTATGCATCCTTGGCAGCTTTGGTCTTTGGTTTGGTAAGTTTAAATTTCATATTTAAAAAGACCCGCATGTCTTCAAATAACTCATTTTTGACGAAGAAATTTTTTCATGTGACTTACTTTTACTAAAGGTTTAGAATACATTTGTTAAAAGTGATAAAATGACCTATACATGAGCATGTTTAATGGAGATGAGATGATAGTAAAAGTTAAAAGTTTGCCAATACAGTCCCCACCTTTTTAATAACAAACTGAAAATATGTAGTCTTCATATTACTTACAATAGTTCATGTGGTTCTGAACATAAACAAGGGGGTGTTAGGTGACCAAATTGTCTAAACATGTGTTTTAGATCAAAAGGTATGTCATTGTGTCAAATGGCATGGTTTTGATTTCCCGCTTGGAACATGACGAAGAATAGGATCACCTATCCAGCCTTGTGGGTTTGCTCCTGGTCCTTCGTTTTTCTCTCCAAACGTACAGAGACTATGATTGTTTTTTTTTAATTTCAGTTTTTAATCTATGACACCCAGATGATCATTGGAGGAAGAAAACATGAACTTTCACCTGAGGAATACATCTATGGAGCACTTCAACTTTATATCGACGTCGTTTACATTTTTCTCATCATTCTGTCTTTATTTGGCAGTAAAAACTGATCTAACATTATACAATATCTGATTATGATTTTAGCCTTTAACTTTTATTGTAATTCTTGTTTTCTTAACAAATTACTGAGCCATCAAAAGAAAAGTATTGTATGAAGTCTACCATCTTGCCAGAAAGATTTCAATTAAAATAGCTTGCTTGTAGTAGTTTCTGATTGATCAATTTCCTTGAAAATATTGTTAACATTATCAGTAAATTTAAAAGTAAACATTGATTCTACTTGTTTTAAATGGCCAATAAAAACGATAAAGACAGTGGTGCCTCTATATAAATCTATGGAGTGGTATTTTGTTTTTGTCATTACTAATTACTTGTATATGTATACATTTCTTTCTGTGAATATCAGTATTTTCATTTTGAAATATTCACTTTAATAAATTGAATTTATTTAATTTGTATACATTTCTTTCTGTGAATAATCAAAATTTTTATTTTATGCTCATTTTGATACATTTATTTTGTTTAATTACTTAATTTTATGTGTCAATTAATATTCTTTATTCAAAGTAAAACCATAATGACCATAATGCATTATTAAAGATACATTATGTGTAAGCTAAATCTGCATATTGCATTTTCTGGCTTCAAATGTTATATAGATTATCATTTAGAGATTTATTCACATGACCAAGCCCATTATCAACTCTCTAGACAATCGGATGGCTGAGATAATCATTGTATTAGATATATATTTCTGTTAAACGTTAAAATGGAAAATCCAGAATTATCTTATTTAAGTGGTATCTTGTCAGAAATTCAAACATTCATAACTTAGCTGAAAATAAAATAATTTCAATTAAATTTTCAATATATTTCTTTTTGTTATCTATTTTATCAAGAAAGGCCAGGTCTTTATCAAAATATTACAAAATGCTTTTTTATGCACTCAGAATTTTTTGTCGGGATTGGGTTTTATCAACTTGGTTAAGCAAACAGATCAATGCAAGCTTTTAAATTACTGCTGTAAAATTCCTGTATTTTTAGGATCTTTATCAGTATTAAAGGGGAAGTCCCAGTTTTCACAGGACAACACAGCACATTAAATAAATTTCAATATTATTTACAGTTGAGTTGCTATTTTGGTTTTCCTTTCTTAATTAAATGATAAATAATGAAATGTGAGTACGGTACGGTAAATTTCAATTTTATCTTCAGTTGAGTTGCTAATTTGGGTTTCCTTTCTTAATTAAATGATAAATAATGAAATGTGAGTACAGTACGGTATATTTCAATTTTAACCAAGTTGAGTTGCTAATTTGGTTTTCCTTTCTTAATTAAATGATAAATAATGAAATGTGAGTACAGTACATTTTAGCGTTGATTAGATATTTTTTTCGAAAAATGCAAATGATGGTCATCAGCTTTAATTAAAGGTTTATGTGTCTTTCAACCAGAATAAATCAGTTTAATCACTACTAAAATATAGATGATTCTCATTGTTTGTATCTCTTAATTGTAAATAATCAATTTTAATCAAATTGGCACTTGTGTATTATAAAGAAAAAATCAAGATGTCTTTTCACTGTTAATGCACTTTTGGTGAATTATTTGGGGTAGTAAGTTTAAATATATGATTTTTTTTTATTGTACTTTAAATTTGATATACAATGTGATTGTACATATTGGTAGTGTCATTTGTGTAATATTTGGATATGATTATATTTGATCTGTAATTTAGTAAATGATATTGTATATTTATGTAATTATGAATGATAGATGGGAGTAATTTATGTATAGTATTATGTATATGAAGTATTTTATTGGCATCATTACTTTCCTCCAGATGACACTCTCTTAAAGGAGCTAAACCCTACATCTACATTAGATTGGGTTATTCTGATGCATTATGTTATTTAGTGATTTGATTAGATTTATACAGTTATCTGTTGTGCAAGTTGATTTGCTTACTAATTGTGATTTTGTTTTTAGATTTTTATTGTCAATTGTGGAACACACTAACTCTTATGACTCAATATTGTCAGTTGTTGAACACAATAACACTAATGACTCAACCTTGTCAGTTGTTGAACACAATAACAGTTTTGACTCAACTTTTTCAATTGTGAAATAAAATAACACTTATGACTCAATATTGTCAATTGTTGACCACAATAATGGTTATGACTCAACATTGTCAATTGTTGAACACAATAACACTTATGACTCAATATTGTCAATTGTTGAACACAATAATGGTTATGAGTGACTCAACATTGTCAATTGTTGAACACAATAATGCTTATGACTCAATATTGTCTTTGGACCGGAAATTTTAAATACATGTACATGTATAAGCACCTATTTAATTCCCTAAATAAATCATCACTTTAAATTTAATTTGACATTTGTATTTTTAACCAATGTCCGTAGATAGCTTAGTGACATTGATATGTAACAAACACTGATTCTTGGTGTAAGTGATATCCACTGATAAAAGAGTGTGTATAGTCGTTCAGATGGTATGGAAAATCATAGTAATTTGAAAAAGTAAACAGAAATTCTCTCCCCTTGCTTGGCACACTAAAGCGTAGAAATTTCAAAATGATCATCTTTGTGTCAAGTATTGTGTCGATGAGTCATTCAACCTCATTCCATTCTGTAAATCAAAAACAAATTTGATTAACAGTCACAGTATACAACATGATTTGCTCTGTCGACAGTTTAATAAAAAAAATAAGATTGGTTTTATTTATTTTTTTTCATTTTGCTTTAGTTGGTCTACACTACATGAAATTAAGACAGCTTCAAAAAGAAACTGAAGTATGGCTGATGTTAATTAATCCAATACTTTGACAATGTAAAGAGAGAAATTGCTTAAAATTTGTACTTATTAAGATTAAAGCTTTGTAAGCAGTAAACTCGGCTGTATGGTTTATCTTGGAAATAGTGTGTATCATATCATATTGTGTCTTATTTGAGTTTTACTATAATTATCAGGTGGCCTCAGAACCTCATTTTGACTAGCTACACTAGCGTCTCCCCCACTATGAATTTTGTTCTGAGGGGCCCCGACAATATAGCATATGTTAATTTTAATATTACTATAACCCCATCAATGGATACTTACAGGTTCCAGGAATGATACTGGTACCAATTAATTAGCATATTAATATTTCACATTTTCAAAGATTTATTTTTACCTTGTGCATTATAGATTGTTTTATATGTTGTCAAGTTTTGTAATATCATAGCTTAAATATCATTCTGTAAAAAATATAGTCAGTTTAAATTTCAAGTTATATTTTTATACTCTCTTCTTCCAATTTCTAAGGTGGTCAATTCTCATTTTAACACATTTATCTGCAAATTAAATGTTTTTTGCAGAGTGGTGAACACAATAATCCTAATAATAGAACAGTTAATGGAACTATTAGTACAAAGGATCAAAATTTGGGTGGGTGGGGGAGTAGGGCTTACGTGAATTTTGGATTGTCCAAATTGAACCATTTAATTAATTAAAATGAGAAACAAAAAAAAACTTAAAATGTTTTATTAAAAAAAAAAAACAGGTACATGAAATGGGACACATTTTTTATATTAATCAACTCTATGCTACCTTACAACAGTACATTATATTATATTCATTTTTAAAAAAAAAAACGAAATTAAAAAAAAAAGACCAGGTTGAAGAGGGTTTTTTTAACATAAAAATGACCACTTTTTGACAACACTATAAAAGATTTTTTTGTAAAATTATTAAATGTATGTACAATGTATTGTTGCTTATTTAAAATAATAAAAGTAAACACTAAAATATCAGTAAATTTATAAAGTAAAAGGATTAATTCTATTGTTATAAGTTTGTTGTTTAATAAATTATTATAAAAGAATTTCTGTGTTATAAAACTATATACTAGAAACATACGAGATATACTAGAATCCAGAGGACAATAACTACAACCTATCTTCACAATGTCAAGGTATATATCTTAAAGTATGATTCCCACTGGTTTTGGTTTGAGTCCGAGTTTCACTAAATACACATGTATTTCATTTGATAGCTAAGCCTTGTACATGTATTAGTCTTTCACACAATAAATCAGTTGAAATTACAATAGTCTTCTTGTGATGAAACTTCAAATACTGTCATGAAGTTGAGTTGACCAGTTTAAATGTTCAGATGCCTCTATTTATATTAAAAGAATGACATAAATTTATGTGGATTGAAAGACAGTTTCGTTCAATGTAATAATATTTTTTCGATCTTGCCTAGTTCACTAGATCTACTGATGTGGGAATCTGGCCTAATGCCTTGTATGACTATTGTTCAACACAAGTTACCTAAAAGCAGCATCTTGAGAGCATACAAAGCTTAGTAACTGTTCAAACCAAAGTGCTTGACATACATTGTTAGACCTTGAAACTGTGCAGATAACTTATCCTCACCCGGCTAAAATGACTACTACATGTATCACCCATATAGGTAATTCAACACACTAAATAATAAAACTTAATGTTTTCTGGAGGGACAAAACCCCAAGTCAGAGGCTAGGCCAAGCAAAGATAAACTTCAGAAAAGAATGAATGAATGAAATGGTGTTTAACTTCTTTTCTATTTTTTTACATTCAGTAGAGAAACATGAGGTGAAAGAAAGCATAAGAGTTTCTTTTACAAAGGGCTTCTTTCATCAAATTTATCTTTCCTAGCACAACTGAGAATGAGGGTTTTCTCCGACATATTTACCATTTTATTACAGCTGTATTACAGATTTGGATATCCTATTAAGCAAACATGAATTACATGCATTATAAAGTTCAGAACAACCTCTTAATTAACCCTGCATGACAAAGTTAAGAATGACCTCTTATCCAACCATACATTATAAAGTTCAGAACAACCTCTTAATTAACCATGCATTATAAAGTTTAGAACAACCTCTTAACAATGCATTATATAATATTGGGAATGCTCTCTTAACCAACCATGCATTATAAAGTTTAGAATATCCTCTTACAATTAACCAACTAACCATGCATTATAAAGTTTAGAATATCCTCTTAACCAAATATGCATAATAAAGTTTAGAATGGCCTCTTCACCAACTATGCATTATAATGATTAGAATAACCTCTAAACCAAATATGCATAATAAAGTTTAGAATGGCCTCTTCACCAACTATGCATTATAATGATTAGAATAACCTCTAAACAAAATATGCATTATAAAGTTTAGAATGGCCTCTTCACCAACTATGCATTATAATGATTAGAATAACCTCTAAACCAAATATGCATAATAAAGTTTAGAATTGCCTCTTCACCAACTATGCATTATAATGATTAGAATAACCTCTAAACAAAATATGCATTATAAAGTTTAGATTAGACTCTTAACTAACCTTGATGTATAAAGTTTAGAATAATCTAGTATTATACCCCCTGTCAGGACATAAAGCTTAACCCATGATGGCAATTTCTTACCAAAACTGGACCAACACACAAGATCAAAGTAAATAACTGTCAAAATGCTCATTACAATGTTATCTTGGATGATTTAATAATGTGGATGCCAGTTTACACCATCAATAGATAGTTCAATGTTCAACTAATGACTGTCAAGTGAAATGGGCACCAGTCATTTCCTTTGGTTGTTGTGGTTTGAAGTACTTGCGAGTAATACATGTGTAAAATTGTTAAAAATTGTAATATTTTTATATGTGGTAAATAGAAATCAACACGTAGATAGGGCTTCTCAGGCCCCTTATACACCCACCACTAGCAGAGCTGTCGGTGATAAAATCTAAAATCACTGTTAAAAAATCCAGCAAAAAATCTATTATGGACTCTGTGCTTAGCTTTAGAAGTATTGACTCTTGAAATTCAATAGAGTTCTCCCTTATGTCCCAATTAACAATTTCACTAGTAATAGAACGGAAAGATAGTCCCTGCAAAACACATTTGAATTTAAATAAGAAAATTTTGAAATTTGATAGGGTTTTATGGCATAATCAGTAAAATCACTGATGGTATGGGAGTAACTAGCAAAATATTTCTGAATTGTGACCCTGTGAATAATATGAGAACTGTTTACTGTTTTGCGTTCACAAGAGTTAAGGGTAAAAATCTGAACGGAAAAAGAACATGGCTGAATGTGTTCACATAATTATTATTGTTAGAAAATTAAGAAATTTGATAGGCTTTTTTTTATGTCACAATGAGAAATCAGCATTTCAAAATTCTCTGTTGTGTATCGTGATTATTAGATTTCATAAATTTGAACGTAAATATTATAATACCTCGTTCATTTGTGATCGGAAAATGCTGAATTTCAATAAGGTTTCTCCATTAGCCGAAATGAACAATACCCAAAATTCCTTAAGAATTGTGCTATATTGCATTTACAAGCTTTAAAAGTCAAAATATGATTGGAAATAAAAATCGCTTTCAAAATTTATGATCGGACACAGGTGACGACAATATACATTCACATTAAATGTGGGCATATAAAACACAATCAATTAAACATTGGTAATTAATACAATTGAATGGTAGATCAAACTTTCTAGAATTAAAGTAAAATTGATCAAATATCCTTTAATTAAACATTGGTAATTAATACAATTGAATGGTAGATTAAAATTTTAATATTTCTAGAATTAAAGTAAAATTGATCAAATATCCTTTAATGTACATAACATAGATACTCAACTACTGTCAATTTTAAAGGATCTTAACGTAAAATAAGGAAATTATAAAATAACTCCAAATAATGACTAAATAACCTGATTATTTGGTTCTGTTTATAATAAAGCTTCCTTAAATAATATCAAATATGTATATTGCATACTGCATTCAGGCTCTAATAAAAAAATATGTCACCATTTTATCCATAGTTTTTACAGTACTACAACACAATAATCAGAAATACAAGTATTTTTAACGATGCATATAAATTATTAACCTATTCTTCTCATATTTATATTGGTTGTCTATCCTATTAAAAGAACAAACCCTACTCGTAAATAAGTTCACTTCTAGTTGCAAAAAGAGTGAACTCTTACTGTTCATCTTTCCCAAAAAGATTTCTTTCATATAAACAATAACTTTATTCAAAAAAGCTGAACTGGGATTGGAGAACAGACTTGGCCTACTTTGACTCCTCCTTCTGAATAAAGCTGATTTAGGATTGGAAATCAGGCGGCTTGGCTCCTCCCCCTGAAAAAAGCAGGGATGACCTACGATGACTCTTCTCCCCGATATAAACTTTGTTGACTCTCCTCTCCCTGACAAAAGCTGAACTAGAATTGGAGAAAGGGTCTAGCCTACGTTGACTCTTCTCCATGATAAAGATTAGTTATCTTATCGAGATTCTTTGGAATTATTGTTGTAAATGTTATAAATGCTTTAAGAAATATAAACATTGTATAAAAGTTAGCTGAAAGTTTATACTACATGTACATCATTAACAAAAACATTAAATACACAAAACACTGACATGTATTTCACGCTAAAAAAAAGTATTTAAAAAAAAAATTTAACAAGAATTTAACTCTTATGTTCAAAAACATAAAAAAAAAGTTCTTAAATATAACTGTACACTATAAGTAGAGGAGAAATGAACGAGAATGATCAGTGTGATCATGTTCACATACATGTACATATTCGTTGATAAATACAATAATAATGTACAAGTATACCCTAAAATAGTCTCAATTACTTGACATTCTGTGACCATCTCATGACTATACTTTTGGTTATACATGGGACATAATTCTATGGAATACAATTACTGAGAGAGATATTAGTCTAAGCTTCTCTGGTCTTTATCAATCAATGATAAAGTATGATCTTATATCATATACATGTACATGTATATATAATATCCGATCATATTTTAGTCAAAAAGACGCCCAGTAATACACAGGAATTATACTCCATATAATGGCGTCCTATGTATTTCCAGTTCAATTACTAAATGCCATTGGAACAATTCATATTTTTTGGGGTGTTTTGGCAAGGAACAATTGCCTGAGATTTGTTAATAATATATTTAATTAGAACGAACTATCATGTAACAGACATTGTATTATAATGCTAGATCACAGCTAGTCAAGTTATTCAGACTAATTCTAAAAATGCCATAATAACAATACATAAATAAACAATATTTATAAATGCTACTGTATGCAGGGCCTTGTTGTCAGAAAATAGCCTACAGTTTGATTGGATTCTTAAATAAACCATAACAAAACTACCCACAAAATCATTCTGATTTCTGATAATCATGGTATAGGATAGAAATGATGAAAATATGGCTATGTAGTCATAATTACTACACTTTCTTGAACACCTAATACCACTTCTCATATATAACTGAGACATTAGCTACAGGAATTGTCTTGTACTTTGTTATTTACCCAGAACACAGACTTTATCAGACATAGATTGAAACCTTAATAAAGGGAATATTTGTTACATACAGGCATTGCCAGTGAACACTGATATGTTCTATTTACACCCAAGCACCAACTCCCTGCCCATAAGATGTTGTATATAATAATAATAGCTCACAAGAAGACATGAACACTCATCTTTGTAAACCATTTTCTGACAAAAACAAGACTCCTGTATAATGGTTTTCTAAATGATAGTTTTAGCACTAATAGTATATAATATGAAACTAGAGTTTAGTATTATTATAGTCATATTGACCGCCAGGATTAGTACTCTGTAACAACTCCAGGATTCCGATACTCCGTAACTGGTCTCTAGCGATATTATCCCAACCTTTGTTAGCTGCAGGATTTATCGGACTAGGATGCATGATGACATGAACTTTGATGTGGTCCATATTTGCCGAAGCCATCAGTTTTTGTGCAGCATTATACGCATAATTTCCCACTCCGATAACAGTTTTGACATTCAACAGCTGAATCACTTCCAGTAAACTTGTGTTACAAACGGTATTTATAGACTTTAAAACATTTGCCGGTATCTGGGGTGGTGTGATATTCTTCCCCGTATCGGACATAAATGCCATAGGACACATATTATAAACAAAACAGTGTTTGAAGAAATTCTCTGGAGTACCACACAACTTTCGGAAATATCCCCAAAATCTACTCCCAGTTACCTTAAAAATAAGAAGAAATTATAGTCATGTAGTTATTTTTGTTCATCAGATCTTGCCAGAAGAGATCAATCGGTTTCCATGCAAGATACCCCCACATTTTGCAAGAGATGAATGGAGAACATGATAAAAAAAAGTGATTTTTCGTACAATCAGGGGACATAATCAAGGATGTTACTATCTGACATGCATCAATATCAAAAGAACCAAGATCTTTGAGATATAAATATATATTTTAAGTTTCATCTAGAGTGGCTACAAGGCAAAATCATGATTTTTCGCACAATCAGGAACCATAATCCATGAAGTTATGGTCCTATACAAGCAAATATCAAAAGGAATCAAGACCTTTGGGGTATATATATTTACAGTTTATTGTATATATTAGACAAACGATTGTTTGCACTCCCATTCAGTCGAGTTTAGGCTAGGATACACATGTAAGTGACCAAGTGGCATAGTACCGATACTACAATTTCGACCCATTTTACTCAATTTGTTAAATTATATAACAAAGGAAGAAAAATCAATAAAATGAGATATATTTAATAAATTGTAAAGAGTATATGTTATTTTTATAACAAGCATAATTTTTATTGTTGTCACTTATATTTGAGCATAAATGTAAATCAAGAGGAAAATTACAGCCCCTTCACACCTGCTGCATCCACTCTCCTCGCCATATCATCCACTTTAAGTAATTTTAAGGCAAGGTCTGCATACCTTCATATGTGCATGAGGTAGAATTTGCTTTCTTTACACAAAGAGTATGAAAAGTTACATGTACGACGTGTACGTACAAATACATGTAAGTTCAATTAAGCTGTATAGAAAATTGATTAATTTATGTGTACATGTATGTAAGTCTTATCTGTGCTTTATTAATTGAAAACCTTGTGCAAGCTGCCAGGGTATTTGTTACAGGGGCCGTCTCTTAAAAATAGGTTCACATACATGTAGTTGGTTGCAACAGCTGCTTTAAACATTATTTGGGATTGTGTCTGTGGTACTCATGCATCACAGACAAGGAAAAATGAGACTAGAAAGGATAACCAAACCCAAGACCTCCAGGTACCTTTAAGTGAGCCACCGCCATTGTCAGTAAGCCATTAGAAATTTTAGATTGGAGGTGGATGGGCTTTAAAGGTTTACACACCAACCCCAGTCTCAATTCATTAAAAAATAATAATAGATGAGAATTATTTACCTCTGATCTCTTACAATCTAGACCAGCAATTAATCTTTTGGGATGTTCTTTAACAGGTTTCGATACATCACCAGTTATCTTTAACCAATCACGAACAATGTTATATTCACCAAACGGTACCTGAAATACATGTAACATATCTTTTTAAATGTGTGAAGTCAACAGTTAAGTCACAAAAAATGATGCTTCTAATGACCTGGAAAAATCAAATGATGTTTATTAAGCCTATAATAAATAACAAATTATTTCGGTTTGTCAACTAGTAAAACGGTAGTACTGTAGACCGTTGTTTTGGCAACTCCTTTTTTGATCACAGAGTTTAAGTCGTGTAAACCGGTGCTAAAACATGTATATATTGTTGCACCTAATTATCAAGAAATATCTTTTTATTGTCATAAATTCTGTATTCAAATGGCAGAGATTTCGAATTTACATGTACATGTACATATTGTAGGCCTACAAGTACAACGATTCTGCCACAGAGGTCTTCAACCCTAACCTGTCTGCATCTACATGTAACAGCATATATCTACATATTTACATTCAACCACTTGAAATAGCTGAATGAATAAACAATACCCACATGCTGCTAGATCTTATGAAGGCCCTACTTGACTGTAATCGACTGGCAAATTTATTAGCAAGACATTTTGTTCATTCATTGTCCATGTAAAAAAGATTTATCAAAAAAAAAAAACCCCAGATTTTCCTTTGAAAGATATGAAAGAATTACTCACCCCATTTTGAGACATTCCAAACGGACCTGGATTCATACCTAAAAACAATATCTGTTTTTGAGTATTGCAGTATTTCTCTATAAAATCACGATGAGGATTAAATGCGTACTCCAAGGGATTATAAACATAGCAAACATTGTCTGGTAAATCTATTTGTATGAGACTCTCGCACAATCGCTTTTCTATCATTAAATAATTGTCCGTTATACTAAATGTATTGTTCGATGCTAATGACATTTCATTGACTTCAAATGTATAAATTCCTCTTTTGGAATGAAAATGCTGTTGAGATACGATCTGAACGGGTTCCTTTTTCGAATTTGATGCACTAATGGACATCTTAGATTTCTTCTTGGGACTACAGTTCACAGAATCGGAATAATCGTCGGATGTGGTAGGAAAACCTGGGTTGAAGTTTGTCCATGGATTCTGAGGTAAATATGGAGGATAAATGGAGGAATTAGGAACTTGATATGTATTAGAATTATTGTACATGGGATATTGCTGATGATATGGATGAGAAGTAGCATGCTGGGACATTGACGATTGATGATACATAAGATGACCGTGTGGAGACATAGCTGGCTGATACCCTGGTTCATGACCAGGCGTGGCCATCGCTTGTTGATATAATTTGGGGTGAGATGATGTTGATGGCTGGTCGTAGAAATGGTTTTGTGAAGACATCGGCCCTAAATTGTACATTGGATTATGGAGAGACATTGATGGTGGTTGGTATCCTTCACTTTGTCCCGGCATATCAGCCTGAAACATTTTACTATGTAATGAAGACATTGGTGAATACATAGAATTGTGTAACGACATTGACGGCTGTAACTGAGCAGACATGTCCATTTCTTGTTTAATTTTGGCCATTTGATGATATTGCTGCTCTGTAGAGCCTCCCACCATATGATTGGGTGACCCTAAATAGTCCTGAGGCATAGACAATGCGTATTCCTGATTATTAGCTGGCACATAGTCATGTGGTGACCCGTAACTAGGATATCCATCACCTTGTTGATGTGCTGTGGCTCCACCCCCTGACCATGTTGACGAATAAAGTTCACTTTTGATCATCGGTCTTTCACAAGATCCGTAAGTTTCATTTTTCACAACAGATTGTTCACATGTTCCATAAGTTTCAGATTTAATAACAGATCGCTCATGGGGACTATATGATTCGGTTTTGACTCCTTCACCAGAACTGTATGTTCTAGCAGGTAAAGATGAACCTCCATTTGTGTCATATTTTAACTGTGGCTGCTCTAAGCTATAAGCATCATTTTTCAATGGATGTGGACTTTCTGGGCTTCCATAGGGTTCCGTTTTGATGGGAGGTCTTCCATTATAAGCATAAAGGTCTGAAGCTTGGGCAGGAGATCCTCTAGAATCGTAACTATCATTATTAATGTATGTTGGCATTGCACTGTACGCTCCAGAGGCATGCAAAGCATTTGGCTCCCCCATCAAATTCAATACACCAGCCTGTTCATTAGGCAAGGTGCTATGGGGACCCTGATTCATGATTTATAAGTAGAAAATGTTGAAGAATGTTAAAATATTCTTTCACAACTGGTACATCTGCATGTATCTTTAATATGTATTGTCTATAGATTTGTGTCCAGTAGTTATCAAGATGAATTTTAACCGTTGTTGCTGTGTCAATACAAGACTGAATAAAAAGCAACTTCAATAATCTGGGGTTTTTTTTCTTTGATCACTCTTAAGTTACTTTACTGCTCACATATATTAAACATCGAGACCAGATTGTAACGATTTCCATGTCATTTTCTACTATTACAGCCATCTGGAAAAGAAACGATGATTAATAATCATACAAAATGACAAACTGCAATCATTACTATTATTAGTAGTATAAAGTAGTATACAATACATTCATGTAGTACAGGATCGGCCTCCACAGACTACAAAGTGTATATAGGGTCGCAATGGATAGTATTTATGAACAACTCAGACTGGTTAATGGTCTATAACAACACTGTTTACTCTACAGATCATGCTACAATAATCCCTCTCCCAGCATTCAGGCCATATTTAGGCCATATTTGCCTAGAGACCAGACCCAATTAAATGCACAAGCTATCTGCTAAAAGGCATTGCATGATTATACATTATCTATTTTTTGAATATCATTTTAATCATGAAAAGCATACAAATAATAAATTTCAATAATGATTATTGCAAACTGTTTTATAATATTGACCAATAATTTGGGGGGAATTCACTGTGCAAATTTGCAGAAATTCAGAATCAGACAATGGCAGTTTCAGACTCGTTTTCTGCCATTCATTATTCTGTTAATTAGGCGAATTGCTTGTCATTTAATGAATCCATTAGTAAGTTGATATATTATAGAACATACGTGCACATTGTAATTTGAATTCTAATCCTGCATAAAGCTAATCATAGCGGTGTAAGTCAGAGTCACCTGTCATTCATTGTGAAATGACTAATTTCAGTAAATAACGTGGACCAGGCATTTATATCCACTTTACAAAGCATTTCGAAAATTGTAACCATTTCATTTTGTGAACAATATGTAGTTGTTATTGATTTTGATTACTATAGAAAATATTATCCTTAATTTCGTTCAGTTGTATTACGTGATTACATTAAATTATATTTTTTGTGAAAGTTTTACTACAATCACACATGATGCTCCCCACGGAAGTGACGTACTGACGCCATTACTGTTTTGGTTCTTGTTGAGGGAAAAGTTAGACGAGATCAAAATATCAAAGTTGTTGAACTTCGAATAACATAACTCTACAAAATGAACCGTCTATTTGGAAGAGGAAAACCCAAGGAACCGCCACCGAATTTAACAGACTGTATTTCAAGTGTAAGAATGTAGAACTAATCCGAATCTTTCTGTCTGAAGCCAAAATCAAACTGAAAGAAATATCGTCTTATTTTCATAGCGCTGTCATGATATTATTACGACACTTTTTTACATCGACTGTACATAGTATCCTAGTATGTATGTACTATAGGCTACTACGAAATATATGTTATATTTTCTTGCCATTGCCATTTACAAAAATAAGTGTATTTGTCTGTTAAATTTCTCTTCACAAGATTCATTCTTCACCGTAGTCGTAGTCTATATGTTCACATTGTCACATGACAATGGCATCTAATGCTAAGATGGGCCAACTAGATATTACCTGTATTTTGAGCTCATTGTTTCTTTTGTTTTTTTTTTTCAGATTGACAGCAGGGGGGAATCCATCGATAAAAAAATTGCTAGATTAGATGCTGATCTTAAAAAGTATAAAGATCAAATGAAAAAAATGAGAGAGGGACCTGCAAAGGTAAGTAAATTAAGGAATTTTGATATGATACATGATATAGGCCTAGTTAATGATAAGAACTGGTTAAAAACACAATTTAAAATGCAGGCAATCATTATGATTAAGCCAGTTTAAGTTTGTCCTTGAAACAGTTTATAAACTGCAGCCCTCTTCCTTTCTTTGAGAAGACTTTTTTCCAGTTGAATTATCTTGGTCGTTTGAAATGAGTGGTTCACTGCCAGCTTTATCTTCCTGACAAAATAGTGACATGCCCATGAGTAGCCCATGACTCTGGTCTGGTCTCCAACAGACTAGGGCAATTTATTGCTAAGCTTGCTTGGCTTGTAGTATGTGTGAACAGGATGCGGGTCAGTTCATCCCACAACCGTTTCATCTCTGGCTGTTTCATCCCAACCTATTTTTTTATCAGGCTGTTTCATCCCAGGCTGTTTCATCCCCTTGTTATTATAATAGCAGTAACTAAGTTGTACTTAATGTTAAATAAACTGTTTAATCTTATAAAATTACTTATTGCTAAATAAACAATAATGTATAGAATAAATAGGTTTTACTTGTCGATTTTTGTTTTGTCTACGATATCACCTTAGGTGGAAGTGGACGTAAAACTCTAGAAACGAACGAACGATTTTTTTCTGATTACCGATCACGACCAAGATTAGTTGGCTGTATATTCGTATTGTTTGTTATTTGGTGTTATGATTTTAGATTTTAGGTCAGTTCACCAATGTTTTTGTAGTAAAGTATATTTGTATTGTTAGTTAATTTCTGTTATGATTGTTATTGGTATTAATGTATAATATTAAAATTCATGTAATACCTGTTTTTAAATTTGTGGGATGAAACCACCGATATAAGTGGGATGAAAGGACCCGTTTAAATTTAGGATGAAACAGCCCGAGATGAACCAGTAGTGGGATGAAACAACCTGCTCCCGTGTGAACACTGTTTTTTATTTTTTTGTTCTTTTTTTACACTAACTTGAAATAAGGGTCTGAATCGCCCTTTATGTCGTACGACAGGTTAATCCCTTATTCTTGGAAGTATGTCAAGTGTAAGCTTGCACATGACAAATTTCACTTCCCTTTTAAACATAGTACAGAAAAGGGTTCCTTTTGGTTTTTATTTTTTTTTCCTTTTGTTCTTTCAGAATTCTGTGAAACAAAAGGCAATGAGGGTTCTAAAACAGAAAAAAATGTAAGTCATTGATCATGATATACACCAAGTTGCTTTTAAAGAAAATAGGGGAACTATTCATATGGGTTTGTCTCTCCGTCACACTGTTTGGGACACTATAACTTGGATTCTAATTTGGTGTTAGTGAATGATAAAAATATGTGTATTGTTTGATTGCATCTATGCCTAAACTAAGTTTATGCTTAGACTAAGTAGTGCTAAACGGTTTGATTGGTCGAAACTTTAAGACACAATAACTCAGTTTTTAATTGAGGTACAATGTTCAAAGTTGGTGTACACTGTAGATGTTCGTAAGGTTAATGTCTTGAGACTGAGTTCAAAGATTAACACTTTCTGCTTACGGGTAAGCTGGTACATGTATAACCAATTTGATCGCTTGATGCTTTGGGGCACAAAAACTTTGATTCTAATTGACAGAGAGTCATGAAACATCAAAACTTTAAATACATGTACGTTCAGTTATGATCATTTTCTGCTTATCCTTAGTATATATAATCATTTTTATTGCTTGATACTTTACAAAATAATACCGTGCAATTAATCGATATGTGTCATTTAATAATTTTGGGATTGATGATGGAATGTTTAAAATTATTATCTATCTTTTTTTGTTTGTTTGATTTAGGTATGAAAACCAACGTGGTCAACTTTCAAATCAATCTTTTAATCTTGAACAACAGAACTTTGCCATTTCTACTGTCAAAGATACAAAAACAACAGTAAGTTGTCTTAAATTACATCCTGTGTACGATACAACTAGACCCGTTTTTTGGGTAAAAAAAAATAAATATATAAATTTAATTTATTTGCCCTAACAGTGGCGCTACATCCTACTCTTATTTCGATTCACAACTGTTAAGGGTTCTTTTATGTGTACGCCAATGTGTACAAGGATTTTGTTTTTTGTCCTATCCAAACCACTATGTGTTGTCCCTTGCCAGCCCCCCGTCCTAGACCACTGACAAGGAGGAACATCTTGATGAACTTTCTCTGCCAACATAGGACCTTCAGGTTAGCGAGCCAACGTCTTAGTCTTACTTTAACTGAGCTTCCATGGCTTCCTATGTTCCCTTGTTGAGAGTTCCAGCCCAAAAACAGACTTTTGTTGAAACCACTGAACACAATATGTAACTGTATAACTTTATTTAACTTGTCTTATCACTAATCGAGGTAACACATTAGATCAACCTAATTCAACAAGATTAATAGAATAAAAACTCAAAATAAACATGATTCCTGGCTGCCATACCCTCAACATCAAAATGTCTTTTCATAATGAGGGTTTGGTGGCCGAATGGTTAACATGTGCACATTGCGTCATAAGATCTGTCATTAATTCAAGTGACACGTATTTGATTCCCAGCTTGTACGTGACAAGGAGTAGGGTTGCATGTCCAACCTCATGGTCCTCCGGTTTTCTCCCACTGCTAAAGACCCCTACATTTATGTACAAGCAAATTATTGAAATAAAATTGAACCATATATTAGTCCTGAAGTGACCTAGTGTGTATCGAGTGGACGTTGATTAAAAGTAACTGTGTCTCAAAATGTCCAGAGTTAGGAGGTTTTCACATATTTCTAATGTTTTTCAGGTGGATGCTATGAAATTAGGCGTAAAAGATTTAAAGAGAGCCCATAAGAATATTAATATTGATCAAATAGAGGTAATTTTTCATTTGAGCTAACTGTACACTTCTGAATTCAGATGGAATATGGTAGTTTGGTAATCAATTGGGATGTTTGATTTGTTTGAAAAATAAATGTGTCATGCATACCCTTTGAAGTAACTCGGCAATATCTGAAAAGCGGGACATTTTTCAAATGGAGTGAGATTGCCAGATTCAAATGAAATGGAATAAAATGGGGTTTATGGTCCTACTGTTCTGCTCCGACTGAGCTATTAAAGACAGGCATACACCATACAGTGTGCTATGAGGGAGATTTTGTCAGAACAGTGACGTTACAGTTACAGCCTACTTTTATATCAGTTTTACAATTGCCAGGGGATCTTTTACGTGCATGCCAATGTGTACAGTGGACAATTTTTTTTCATCCCATCTGAACGACTAGACAGCTGTTCTTGTCAGGCCCTCTGTCCTGCACCACTGACAAGGTTAAAACTATGCCGGAAAATCCAAATAAACTTTCTCAACCAACACCTGGATCAAATGCGCGACCTCCAGGCTAGTGAGCCAACGCCTCCCTTAACCACCGTGGTCCCTGGGATTACCAAATGGTGTATTTACAATGTTTAGTGTGCATACACTACATGCCCAGGCTAATCGAATATTGTCTGTATCATAGTAAATGGACATGTGTCCTCAATAAATATATGGGAATAAGGAAGTGAAGGAAGTGCTCTGTTGATTATATTTTTCTATCTTTTCTTTAGAATATGCAAGATGAATTAGAAGATTTAATGGAACAATCTGATGAAATACAAGATGTGATGGGTCGTAGTTATGGTATGCCTGAAGTTGATGATGATGAATTAGAGGCTGAACTAGATGCTTTAGGGGATGAAATTGGTTTTGATGAAGACACATCATATCTTGACGACGCAGTTGCAGCACCTTCAGCCCCAGTGGGTGATCCAGGGGAGAGTATGAGGGTATGTATGATGGAATTTAGAATCAATCTTTGATGTTTTGTTTTCATTAATAAATATGATATAAAGTGCATTGAGGAATTATTAAATATACATTATGTAAGATTTAGATAGAGAGTTAGCCATTCTTGCTATAATAGTTTGAAAATAAATAATGTAAAATGAATAATTTGAAAATTTCATTCAAATTACTCTATTGCGAGTGAAGATATTAGCCTTTGAAGGTTTGACAAGACATGTGCATTAATTGCAACCACCGTACTGGTTATTCGAAGCTAGATTAAATCAAAAGATGGCTGAACCGTTCTAATCTGTTTAATATCAGTGATATTCGATGGCATCGAGAGTTGATTATGGTCCTGTCACGTTAATAAATGTCTAACTAATTAATAGTTTATATGACATTTCGGGCCTAAAAAAGACCTGCAATAGGCAGATTTAACTCTTGCATAATGTATGTTTAACTTTAAAGAGGCATTATCACACGTGAAAAAATCAATGAAATTAATTGTGAATAAAAACATAATTATTAAAAATCCAAGCACCAACCTACGTATGAGTACAGAATTACGCACAACATTCTGGCAATATGTATTAAGATTTGCTTACAATATATAAATTGATCAGGTCCATGGACTCCATTGTAACTGTATGAACAAAACATGTCAAATCAAAAATCATTGATTTTACCAACCAGGGAATATGTGCAATATACTGCTTCCTCTTTGACGTGCAGCTGTTGTAAACCATTCTATAAAAAAGATTGATTTAATAGTTGTCATATCCTACGAAATCATGTATTACACATATATTTATAGTATAAATTTTATACACATATGTAATTGTATCTCAGACAAATGTCATAATGTCTCTACTGATTATTGAATACTGGGTAAAAGTGTCAAATTCGAGACAGCAAGGATTTGATACACCATTTGGAGATGCACTAGTTACAAATGTTGCTTGCAATGCTACGTATTGTTGTATGTCCATTCTTTATGGGGTATTCAGTACTGCTCGTGCATGGACATTTTCATAAGGACATAGTTTTGCTTAACCAGGATCACATTTGTCTGTCTGGTTGAGTGAGTCTAGAAAACACATGATTTATTCTGGTAGGCTATACAGTTTATTAAATAATGCTGTCAAATATTACCAGTTATTGCCCTAAAAATTGATTTTATAAACTTTATACATGTATTTGTTTAATGAAAAATTGAATGTATGGAAATAGGTCAGTACGGCAAAGTAATAAATATGTGTTCAACAGTCTATAATTATAATTGACTAGCCATCAGCCACCCACCTGTCAGTAACTTGCGATTCCGAAGAATTTAATATTACCAAGTTTAGGGGGAAAACTCCACTTGAGTAGGCATATGCTTAAAGGGGTCAAACCAGTTGGATTTTATTGAATAAAACTGTTAATTCAGGGTGAAAGACTCTTGTAAATTTTCATCTTTTTGAAGTAATGCTAACTTTCAAATTCAGTTGAGGTTGGAAATAAGCCCCTAAATTCCATTCTCCTAGAGATTATCAAGTCTGTCTCATAATTGAGCAATGCTTTTCCTCATCACTAAGTAGTTTATTTAATCCTGTTAAGAAAATCTAACTATTATTCTCAAATGGCTCAATCTTTTGATTGAAACTTTCAGACAAGGTAAACAGACTATTTCTTGATTTTCTGATGTTAAGTTTACAGTCTCTTATGAAATCCGGGGTCGTTCCATTAAATATTCTTAAGTTTTACACTTAAATAATTCTGATTATGCTTAGTGTATCATGTTTTATATTTACACGGTTTGTGATAACTACTTACCAAGTTATTTCCCTTGATCAATCAGAAAAAAAAACCATCCGAGTTTGACAATCTTTATGGGCTGCTTGAATGTTTTAGTTGCTGGGGCATGTTTTGTTGTCTGGCAACATATTTTTATGTTTTTATCAATACTGTCATTTGATTTACAGGGTGATGTTCCAGTCGATGAGTTTGGTCTACCACAGATTCCGCAGAGTGCTAAGTAAACATAGATATAATAAAGACAATATTCATCCAACAAGCTATCATGATTCAATCAACTGAACCTGAAATTACTACTTCATTTATTGGATAGGTTTCAAAATTTAAATTGGAAATACCAAAACTTTCACAACAGGTTTGCTGCTGGTAATATGCTTGAAATGTTATTGCTACTTTTGGCATTTGTAAATAAATCTTAAACATCATTTATTGTTAACAATAACACCAGGTGACCCACAAAGTTGATGTCATTTCTGTAGTGTTATTACCCAAATTGCACCTTGTTTATACTTTTAATATACCGGTAGCGCTTTTTAGAAAAAATGGTGTGATGCCATATAACTTAACACCCTGGTACCTCAGTCACACATTGATGTCTGAATATCTCTGGTTGTATCCCGATGTGAATATCAGTATAGCATGTTGAACATTGCACTTCAAAAATCTTGAAATTAAAAAATGACTTCATGGCTTATTTTCTTTATATTCACTATCGGTAAAATATAATTGTGGAACTGTTTGTGATCTTATATATCTTTTAGCAAACTGACTAAAATTGTTACTGTATTTGTTTTTTATTTATCAAACACTTAATATGTAAAATGTCATCTTCACAGTGTTCAAGGTATTGTAATGCGTGTCTGATACTTACCGTAGTTCTAAAACAGAAGATTCAGTCATCTGCAGACCTGGAAATACTGATTGCAGTTGTATCTTACAAAATGTCAGGCACATATGGCATTTAGTATTAATAATACTAATAAAAAAAACTGAAAGAAGAGAAGGATGAAGCCCGACAAAGCTTTTATTTGTGCTTGCCTTCTTTTGATACTTGCTAATCTTATTTATGTATAATCTTTCAAAAATAGTTTCTCTCAAACATATTGACACAGACGACTGTACCATGACACTGTGAAGATAGTCAAATGTATAATGAGTTATTTTTATTGTAAGTTGATGTATATATTTATAAATATGCTTATTATTTACACATATTGTTTATATGCCTCAGTAGTATAGATATTTACCTGCTGTATACGATTGTCCAATTTATTACTGTCTGATTATTTTTTAAGGATTAAACTATATATTGTAAATATTACAATATATTACAACTTCAATTCATACTAACAAGTTTCTTCATTGATTTTGTTCCCCTGGTTCGTTTCTTTTACAAGATATTTAATTTCTCAGTTAATTTTTGCATTTTTGATTTAAGAATTAAATATTAGCATATCCAATTTTTGTAAAAAAAATAAATTATATGACAACCAAAACATTGTGTTTTGTATTTTTAAATGCAGTTGTATATTACTGCTTAACTTTTACCCCCGGTCTGTCTTTATCCCATCTTTTTAAGATTTATATATGTTGTTTACACTAGAGATAATAACTTCCAGAGTTATTGTCCTTGATCACTTTTTAGAAGGTTATGAACGCTCTGATAGCAAAGTCATCTATTGGTCTGTTTGAAATTTATATGCATTATTTACAGTAATGAGACACAGAGAAGCCAATCCAGTTGCTGTTAATTACTTCATGGTCATTGTGTTATTAAAATGCACAATGTCAATGTTCATCTTTTAATTATTACATCATTTTATATAAACCATATTATTAATAATTTCTTCATGATTTTGTTATAGTCAGAACAATATATATAAAGATAGCCTGACCAACTCCGGTCTTCGTCACCATTTTGTTACCCAATCTGTAAGTTTAACAGATCAACACAAGAACATCACAAATATAAAATAACCATTATCAAGAGAAATCGATCAAAATGATAATTTTGCAAAATATAATGGTTCAGCGGCATGAACTGCATAACAATTTGTAGTAGCTTAGAATTTAAGATTAAATTTTGGAAAACCATTTTGTTACCCAATTACAAATGCAACAATATAGTTGACCTGACTCTCTATATATGTAATCGGGTTATAGTTACATTATATCTATGTTAATTAGCTCAATTCTCCAAGAAAGATTTAATATTAATGAATGTGATGAATCCTACTTTACTTAAAGATACATTATGGGAGATTAGATAAAGAGCTGACAGTTCTCGCTATAATAGTTAAAAACTAGATAATGTAAAGGTAATTTGTTGAAAATTTCAGTTAAGTTGATCCACTATGAACCGAGATACCAGCTTTGTAAATTTCCGCCTAGCCTCGTTCATCATTACTAAAGTTAGTACGTTAAAAAGCATAGTCTCGATTATCCATTGTTTTGATTTAATTATCAATGAGCGTTTGCAGCATATAGGATTCTAATCCAGTCGTCATCGAAGGCTAGCCTTGACATCGAGTGTTGATTATGGTGTGGATAAGTTAATTAATGTCTAATTAATAATTTAGATAAGATTTCGGGCCTAAAGAAAGACCTGCGATAGGCAGATTTAGCTCTTGCATAATGCATGTTTATAATGTATTTTGTATTATTTATATTTCTTGTTTTGATCTGTCCAGTGGGTGGGGGATCTGTTGGAGGAGAACAGGTTAAAAACTGACAGTCTGTAAATCGAATAGGTATACCCTTCCATACCGACTTATGCATAGCGTAGTATAAAACAGGCAGAACGTTTCATTTTCATTGATGTATAACAAAAGCTCATAAATTCATATCAAACATTAGAAGTAATACAATGATTGGAAGTTCAAAGAACTGCATTAGCTTTATGGGGGTTTCAGATTAATATTAGGTCCATATGGCAAGTGATAGGTAGGCATTATTAAAAGGGAAGAGCATTAGTCCTACTATTATAGGATAATTAAGAGCGTTAGTCCTACTATTATTGGATAATTTCATTGAAATAAGTGTATAGGATTTCTGATTGTAACATTAACAAACATTTTTATTACGAAATAAATTATATGGAAATGAAATGATTCGTTAATACCAGAATATATTCAATCAAGGAACTATACATTTTAAAATCCAGTTACAGTGTTTGCAAAGAACCGTGGTTCCACAAACCCAGGTACTGTGGAGTACCAACCTGTAACGGTGCTTAAACTGACACTAGCTGAGACAGAAGAAAGGGTCAAAGAAACAAAACAACAACGAAAATGAATCAAACAGTACAATGTCATGCTCCTCATAGGCCGGATGTATTCCACTTTCGTTTAAGGGTATATACATGTATAACATTGCGGATGCGGATGACTTGTGTATCCCAACATAAATTTCGGTCAATCTGACTTTTCGGGAAGACGGGTAAAGTAAAAATAACTTGGCCCCCGACATAACTAATAACATAACCCTCTGCAAGTGGTTCATCAGGAATTTTGCCGGACTGAGTGTAGAGAAAGATCATTCGCTTTTCCCACTGACAGAATTATAATACCAGTAAATATTTTATTTTTGGGGGGATTTAAATAATTTTACTTATTCTCTCAACAATTTCCAGCCAGAGCAGTAACGGGTGTACTTTTAATTGTATTGTGTATTTGGGGGTGTAACACAATGGTGGTAGAACAAACAAGTTAATACACAAAATCATCTCCATTAATTGTATTCTGAGAACCACACAAAGACATAAGTTATTTACAGCAAAATCACAATCACATCTTATTCGAGCGCTTCAACGACACAGCAAGAAAAACAAACAACTCCTGACTCGAGAGTTATCTTTCCTCAACCTCGATTTCATATTAATAAGGCCATACCACTTTAATAGGCCAACACATAATAAAATGTATGTGAATACATAACATCCCCGCCGGCAAAAAAAAACAAAATAATTTTGTTTAAAATCCGATGATAAAAGATTTGTGTTGAGACTATTAGTATCTTGAAACATAATCAGGAGTACTATACATAACAAAATTGACAAAAGAAAGACCGATAAATGTAAACAGTTCAAACAAAATACAAAGAGGATAATAAAAGTGGACAATATTGGCAACAATGCCCTGAAAAATATCCTTCATAGCAAGGACATTAAAATATATACATGTATATTCTTTAACACCTGAGTTACATATTGTGTGGGAAAACAACAAGAACATGGACATATGAAGTTAGGTATAATGAGATAAATGGATGAATAAGATAACATGCCATGTAAGACAATAAACATTACTACATGTATTGCAATAATAACATTTACAAAAATTAAATAAAATAGACTGAAAGCATATCCAACTGGGATATAAGTAATACTGTCTTACATGCACAGTATATATATATATATATGCCTACATGTATAGGTAACTATAGAAAATAATCCTAGGAAGATAGGTTGCTAGACAACATGTGAGCGTATATAAAAAAAAAATTAGACATATAAAAATATAACATAACACTGCATAAAAAAAAGTCGTGCATATGATATACATACAGAAGTAAAACAATATGAGTAAATATACACATGTTTATCACTAAATGAATGGTGGTGGTTTCATTTGAATTGATAATTTGGCACGATGGTCTAACTTAGAGCCGGAGACCCAAAAAGCCTGATCTGCTGGTTCACCACGAATTTGAACAAGATATTCTGGTTTCGCCCCTTTAAGGCGTTGACCTAACACACGTTGGATTTTATGAAAACCACCATCAGAGTCACTATTATGCGAAATACTACTACAGTCCACTGCTGCATCACGAAATCTAATAGGTTTACGTCTGGAACGCACACTTCTACGAACACCACTTTGGGAGGGTTGAATGTCTTTTATTGGAACAGGGATTCGTGATCTACACATAGTGGGACTTGAAGAGTCACGTTGAATATTATGAGAGTCTTTACAAGGTGTAGGTAACCCATCTGTAGTAATGGGCTGACTTAAAGTTTGGTTAGGTTGTAAAATACTCTCACTGGGTAAATCAGAGTCTGACTGCTCTGGTACAGTCTGTTTAATGTTTGTGATAACACTCCCAGGAAAATAAGAAGAAGGGTTAGGTGACCTGATATAAGCCAATTTAAGACGATCACAATGGACATTATGAATAAGTTTAGAAGAAGTTGGATCTTTAAGATCGACTATATGGTCACTACAAATAGTATAAATAACATAAGGGCCTGAATATTTATTTTGTAATTTCTGACCAGGACCTTTTGGAGAGACATTTAAATAAACATAATCACCAACAACAATGTTTAAAGGGTTAATTTTAGCATTAACTCTATCACACATTCTAGCATGTGCTTTAATAGCATTATTTTCAACTTGCTGGCGAATGAAGTTGAGTTTCTTAGATTGATTATTTATAAATGTCTTAATATCACTTGGTATAGTTTCTCGAGAACTATCTGAAAAATTAGCTAAAGGAAATTTTGGACGCATGGAATAAATGATTTCAAAAGGTGAAAACCCCAAAGATGAGTTAACACAATTATTCATGGAAAAAACAACTGCAGGTAACATATCAATCCAGGAACAAGGACTTTTTGACACATAAGGAGTTAACCGCTCAGCCAAAGTTCTGTGTAAGCGTTCACAAGCTCCTAAACAGTGATGCATAAAGCTAGGAGTAAATTGTTGAGGTATTGACAAAAGTTTACAAACTTCAGATGTACATTTAGAAATAAATTCTCTACCTTTATCACTTATTAACGTATGGCAAACACCATAGTTAGAAAATAAATTAAAGAGTGCTGAACTAACAGTTATGGAATCAGTATTAGCAATTGGATAACAAACTAAAAACTTACTGAACATATCAACAGCGGTGAATACATAACAATCTCCTTTAGGGGTTTTAGGTAAAGGCCCATAAAGATCTACTTCCCAAACTTCAAATGGAGCATGTGGTGTAGGATATGCAACAATGGCTGTTTTGGTATGTGCTTTAGTTAACTTTCTACTTTGACAAGCATGACAAGACTTTACATAGTCAGAGACAAGGGTGCTCATTTTAGGAAAATAATAAGACTCTTTAATGCGGTCAACAGTATCCTGTATCCCCCCATGACCACCTAAAGGAGAATCATGGTATAAAAGTAAAAGTTCTTGAACTAAGACATAAGGCACAACAAGTTGATAACAATTTAAAGTTTTGGAACGTTTAGATATTGCAGTTCTAGAATGAAATAAAACATTTTCAAAAACCATATAATCTTTGGCTTCAACAATTAATCGTCTAGATTGAGACTGAGAATCAGGCAAAACATTTTTAACAAGATAATTTATAATATGCTTTAAAAATGGATCACTATATTGTAATTCAGCCATAGCAGAAAGACTAAAATTAAAATGTTTCATTAACAATATACTCTCAACTGATATAGAATCAATAGGTGCGGTATCAGTTGAGCTGACAGGTATATAATCACTAAAGTTAATATCACAACAGTCGGTAGTGGACGGCATGAAATGAGTTAGATTATCACTAGTTTCACAAGTGTCTGAAGGAATACATGAATTATGTACTGCAGCACATTGTTCATAATTGGAAGGCACATTATTAACTAAAAATTCATCAATATCACAATCTTCTGTGTCAGCATCATATAATGGGTCTTGATCAGTATAATCCACAAAAACACGATTACATTCAGCATTTGAATCCGCACAAAACAAATTTGGAAAATCTACACCACCGGGCAAAGTTATTTTAGGAACAGCTTCTGGAATATATGGAAAATAAGGGTCATCTTCAGATGGACTGACATGATCGGAATGTTTAACAGTTTTATCGAAACAACGGGACAAAGCATCAGGAACAGTCATCTGTGCTGCTGGTTTATATTTAATATCAAAGTTAAATTGCTGAAGAATGGTTAACCACCGATCATAGATGGCACCACGAAGAGATTTTTGAAATAATGGCTGTAATGCTTGATGATCACATTCTACTGTGAAATGACGACCACGTAAATAGGGAGCACAATCCAAAATGCTTGAGGTCATGCCCAAAAGTTCCAGTTTAGTAGGACCATATGATTGCTGCCATTTCGAAAGGCTTTTCGAGCCAAATTTAATAACTCGTGTTCGTTGTTTGTCATCTAACTTGTCCTTAAAGTCTGACTCTGGATGGATTTGATATAGCATATAACCGATACCAAGACTGGAAGTGTCGACACTTAAATAAAATGGTAGGTCATAGCGAGGAAAAGCTAATACTTTGGAATTTAACAATGTCTCTTTTAATTTATCAATCGCTGATTGATGCGATTCGTCCCAATTATAAGACACATTTTTCTTTAATAAACTATGCAAAGGAGTAGCAAGAGCACTATAATTGGGAATGAATTTCCTAAACCAATTTAACATTCCGAGAAATCTGCGCAACTCTTTGGGAGTTTTAGGAGTAGGATAATCTTGAATAATCTTCACATGATCGTTGGGTGGGCTTATGCCGGCAGCAGATATTTCATGTCCCAAATATTTACACTTTTGTTGAGCAAAAGCACATTTTTTCGGGTTAAGTCTTAAGCCAGCTGTACGTAATCGATCAAAAACAGCTTTTATATCCTTGATATGTTGATCGAATGTTGAGCTATAAATAAGGATATCATCAAGGTAGCATAACACAGAATTAAATGTCAAACCGTGTAAAATTTTGTCCATCATAAGCTGAAAAGAATTTGGTGAGGTTTTGAGGCCCATAGGAAGACGTAAAAATTTATACGTTCCAAAGCAAGTTGAAAATGCTGTATAATTAGTGGACTCTTCAGACAATGGCATTTGAAAAAATCCACTACTTAGGTCAATAGATGTTATATAATTAGGTGTTGTAGTAGTAAATGATTCTGTTAGCTCTTGCAAATCTGGGATAGTATAGTTGAAATCTTGTGTCTGAGAGTTGAGGTAACGAAAGTCAACACAAAAACGATATTGTGATAAACTAGCTTCTTTTGAACCAATAGGGTATTCAGATTTATCAACATTTCGCTTCGAAACCAATACTATAGGACTGGTTATAGGTAGATGATCGGTAT